GTGTAATGACTGACACACAATGGGTCACAGATCAACACACTGACAACTGACAACTGTGTGAGCAAATGTGAGCAAATTTTTTTTATTTACTGTAGATGTACTTTCTTTATAGATTTGGATATTGTTCATATTGAAGAAAAGCTGGATTATAAAATCAGCCAATGATTAGTTTTGGAAATTAATGACTATAGTGCCATTGATTTATTAGCAAACTTCCTTTGTGTTTCATGTTCCTCACACGGATTTTAATATACATATATATTATTGCAATAGATGCATATGACTTGTGAAACTATGTACATTATAAACATAAATGGCTTAATCTGCCATTGATAAACTGTATCAATTTAAAGGATTAAATGATTGTTAATTAATCACTGGCATCAATCACTAGTAAATAATGAGTGCATTCTGCTGCCATGTCCTTTTTTGTTGTGGGTTTTTTTTTTTTTTTGCTCAGCTCATAAAGCAATCAAATGTATTTATTAAGTGCATTTAATGAGAATTATTAGACTTTTATTTTGGCTCACCGTGAGCTTGAGTTTGTTTGCTGGTCATTCAGTTTGTTTCTATTCCCACTTTATGGATTTTTTGTGAGTTCATTCGGATGTTAAATGCAGTTGTTGCTCTCATAAATCACTCTAAGCACACAACAGAACTAAGCTGTAAAAGGTGAAGTGACAGCCGAATTAGCTGCAGTGTGTATGTGGCCTAAAGGTAGTATGAGAGAACTGTGTGAAATTGTGTCTTAAATCATACAAGTGTAAAAAACTAAACCTATATTTCATTTCTTCTGCATTCTGGAGGTTATAGCAGCTCTCTCACAGCAAGCCTTAACTTTTTGATTTAGTGGCTAATTCATAAAAACTTGTATGGTCATATTTATTCACTCATTCATTTTCCCTCAGCTTAATCCTGTTATTCATCGGGGGTCACCACAGTGGAATGAACCAACAACTTGTTTAGCATATGTCTTACACAGCAGATGCCCTTCCAGCTGCAAGTGAAGTGGATTTTATACTTTTTAAAGTGTGAAGTTAATATATATATTCAAATTGTATGTATATAATCTGCTTGTAGACTTGCATACCATTAGAAGAATTACCATATCACAAGAACTGGATAAGTTATATAGTTACCAGGTTTGGGTCAGGGGTTAATCTAGGTGGAAATTGAGGTCAGGGGTTAACCTAGGTGGAATTTGTATGACATATGTAGAAATAAGGGAAAAACAGATGACAGAGGTGGAATTTGGAGTCAAGGGTTAAACTAGGAGGGATCTTGTGTGACATATGTACAACAAAGGCAAAAACAGAGTATTTAAGGAGGGAATTTTTCAGACAGAGATGCTACTGGGGGTCTCCTGAAAGTTCTCCTTTGTTGTCGACAATAAAGTATATTCTTCTGATATTCATAACCTCCAGACTGAGTTTGATTTAGTAAGAGAAAAACCAAGAAAACCACTACACAAGCCAGTTCTGGGATGCACCCATACAGTCTAACGTTCACACACATACATTACGGTCAATTTAGTTTACCCAATTTACTTATACTGCATGTCTTTGGACTGTGGGGGAAACCAGAGCACCCAGAGGAAACCCACGCAAATATGGGGAGAGCATGCAAACTCCACACAGAAATGCTAACTGACTTAGCCAGGACTCAAACCAGCGACCTTCTTGCCACCATGTCACCTTTTGTATGATCCCATTCATGCATTTTAATAAGATTTGCTCATCCATCAATAATGGATGGGCTCAGTGGTGGGATTTTGGGGCACCCTTCCTTTTAAAGTGCACTGAAAAAATTAATTAATTTGGATTTACTACATTTTTTTAAAGGTAAGTGGTTGCAGACAATTTATATGGGCTGAATTTGAACAAACAAGTTACATTGAACATTACCAAAGGTAATTGGTTTGTTTAAATTCAGCCCATATAAATTGTTTGCAAACACTTATCTTAACAAAATTCAATGAATGTCTTTTCTACCAGTGTATGTTCTTTTTCGTACATATAAAATAATTTGAATTGTCCATAAAATACATCCAGAAAATAATTAAATTTCCTCGTTAGTTCATGCTGGTGTACTCTGAAGGGACCACCATGGCTTTCAATACTTGCCCATGTCTTGAATAAGAATTAGGAGGCAAGCAGATTTCTCTGGATTTGTAGGGATTTGTAAGGATCTAGCATTGCATTATGCTGCTATTTATCAATTTTATATAGCGGATTAATTGCGGCAGCTTGAATTATTGTGATTTTATTAATCGCGTTGGATAAATTAAAACGTCTGTAATTGTAAATCTGATATAAATGTTGAAAGCACAAATGTATTAACGTCTTAGAAGATCAAATCTATTTCCAGCTCCGATCAACGCAAATGTGGCAGGATTCTTGTGTCCATGCGCTGTCTGTGTTTTCCCATTGCCCAGTGTTCCATGTGCGTTTGTTTATGTCATGTGATCCCTTTGTTCTAGTTTCCCGCCGTTATTAATGTTTATTAGTTTCACCTGTGCAACACACCCTGTTTGTGTTCAGTGTAATTATAGCCCTGTTTTGAGTTCAGTCTTTGTCTGTCAACGTTGATGTGTTTCCATGGTCAGTGTGTAAATTAATGTGTTTTTGCTCATTCCTGTGCCTTCGTGAAAGAACGAGATGTGACAATATGAAACTGCAAATCAAGCTTTTTATGTTCATTTACACTTTTTAAAAATACTTTGTAGTTAGAATTAGCCTGCGACAAAAGTAGACCTCAGAGATTGAGCATGAGCAATACACCACAATTTGGTTTCAACAAGTCATGTGATGCAAGAACCTGTAAATGGTATAATTGCTAACAAAATATGCATCTAATTTTGCCACTTTCCCTTTTTAAAATGGATTTTAATAGTTTTTTGGGTGAAAATTCTGAAATATTGGCAATTTGAGGATCATCTTAAAAGAAAAAATTGGAAGTTTTTCTTTTTTAAACTGCTAGATGATTAGACAAAATAACAGGAAGACTAATAATGTGTGTGAGTGAGGTGGGGGAGTACAGAGGGGGAGAGAGAAATATTTGCCAGAGGGGAGGATACAGAAAATAAGCTTAGAGATGCTCTGTTCAAGCCTCGTCTCCATAGCAACTACTCCAAATGAGATTTTTTTTTTTTTAGAGGAAAGCCCCTCTCCTGAAGCATTACACCGACATTCCTGAGGAATCTCTATCTATAAATGGATCTGTTTAAAGATTCAGTTCAATCTAGCTGGGATGATTGCAACACAAAACACTTTTTTTTTTTTTTTTGAAGCGACTGTGAAGGTGTGAATAATGGCATACCAGAGATGGTCTGTGCTATAGGTCAAGCAGGTGGATTATGAATGAACGTGTTTAATGAAAGGAAAACAGAACTATGGGAATAGGTGTCAACAATGCATTTCGTTATGCAATTTATTGTGCTTTAAAACAATATTCCACATGTATACTGATGTTTAGACATAGAATTGTCTTAATTTTAAAATAATTGGATATAATTGGATAATAGAGAGCAATAGTCTGGTTCTGTAAGTTAAAATCCAGACACACTTCTCACTTCGAACACAAGTTGGAATCTTATAATTGCAGTATTTCTAATATCTGGTTTTGTGTGCATACACTGAGCTGTTAATGTTGTCATCTTAAAATGGAGCAATTGTGACTAATTGCTTGGAATCAAAGTTATAATATTGTAACTGTTTAATTTGGTTCATGAATTTTCCTATGGAAAAAAGAGGGACTAATGCACTCCTTACGCGTGTATAGACATAAACCACATAAAATAATTGTACACTACAAAACTGTTGAACTTCAAATATATACACACACACACACACACACACATATATATTTACATTTACATTTAGTCATTTAGCAAATATATATATATATATATATATATATATATATATATATATATATATATATATATATATACATATACATAAATTTAGAAAAATGTATTAGATATTTTAACAGTTAAATAAAGACAAATGTGACCACAAAACCAGTTGATATGGATAAGACAAATTTGGAAAATCTGAGGGTTCATAAAATACCTAAACATTAAGAAAAAATGCCTTTAAAGCTGAATTAAGATCTTAGCTATGGATTTTATTACTAATAATAAAGAGTTTTAAATATTTTTATAGTGAAATGTTTTTAAAATGTATTGATGGAACATATTGTGATGATTTTAGAAGAACATTTTTGACTGTATTGCTGGCCATTACTTTAAATATACACATGCATTTTAAGACTGGTTTTGTGCTTCAAGATCACAATTTGTAAAAACTGTAAAATAAATAAATAAATAAATTCTTAATAAAACACATCTTTGGGGGGAGGTGGAACAAGCTGAAACTTAATATTTAAAATCATATTCAAAAAAGAAATACATGTACTTTCAAAGAAAATTATTATTATTAAATATAATAATTAATTAAATTTATTGAATAAGTGTTGCATTATGCACTGAACAAAAAATAATTCAAAGATAATTTTTTTGGATTTACAACATTTTTTGGTAAAATAAAAAAAGTTAAATGATTGTAAACAATGCATTTGGGCTGAATTTAAACAAATTAAGTTGAACATTACGAAAACAAATATGTTTAAATTCAACACATTAATTATTTGCAACAATTATGCAAAATATTTTTTTCAGTGTGTTTAATGCCCTTGTGTAGTCTGATAAACAAATTAGGGGAAAACAGGGACAAAATGACGATTTTTCATGAAAAGCTATTTTAATAGATAATGTTTTAGACAGAAATATATAGGCTATTTACTATGTGTTTAAGTGTGCTTTATCAATATGGTGGTATTTAGTACAAAAGTAATAGCACAGTCTACTTTCAAAGAAAACTAATATTTCTATTTTACGTTCTGTAATTTATTTCATCAGTGTTGTCTTATGTTTAATGGTCTGATGCATACACAAACTGTACCATCACACATTGGCGCTTTTGAAGAGTGTACAGTACCTGACTCGGGCTTGAAGGAAAGGAGGATATTGGCGGGACATCCAAAATCTTCAGGTCGTACATCACACCGTTAAGAATGACGGAGGGTCTGTAGACGTATCGCGTTTGGGTGGGAGTGTAAGTCTCAGAGAAGTCATTGTAAATGAACTGACGGATGATAGAAGTTTTCCCGACTCCAGGCGCTCCGATGACGGCGATGCTCAACGTCTCCACCATCCCGCGCCGATCAGGACCGAAGCCAGCCACTGCCGACCGACACACGCGGAAACCTCTTCAACAAACCAAAACAATGCCAATTGTAAACCTGAGCCTTTTTTTTTGTGGCTAAAAATTCCCGCCTCCGTCGATTACAAGACACTTAAAGATAAGAGTTTGCTCACAGATGTGTTGTCTTCTGGTACATTTCGTTATCTTTTTTGGTGAAACACACAGTCAGTAGCATCCGAACGGATCAACAAACCAACTTCATTCACTGCGGCAGTTGCGCTGTCTTTTCTGCATTCCATCGGGGAAACCTTCACCGCTCCACTGTGATCCTACGCAAAGCTCTGGGGCTGCAAAGCGGTCGTTTTCCAACAGTATCCGTCTGGCTGCTGTCGGGGTTGACTGTGCTCTTCGATTTGGAGGTTACCATTGACCCTTTCTCCTCGTAACCTCTCGTGCCTTCCCCTCATCGTCTCAGCAGTGCGTGTTGCGCGGGCGCACCAGGGCTCGTTTAACCGCGCACCTCACCGCCAGCCGAATGCAGTTTGCGTAAAGGTCCATCGTGAAGCTCCGTGAGACTGTAAAGGTGGACGGTATCTGCACTGAAGCTGCAGGTGAAGCAGAAACAGTGACCCTGCTGTGTTGTACTAAGCGCTGCTTCTCCGCGCGCACTCATGTGGTTCAGCTTGACGCGCGCGCATTCATGACTTGTGCTTACTGGCTACAAACAGGTCTAAAAGCTCACTCGTCGATAATACCAGGAATTTACTAGCATAATTAGAAGAGTACACAGTGGAAATGGAAGCGTGCTCAAACAGCAAACACGAGCTTCGCTTGTTTGTTAAACAAGTTAAGGAAGTCCATTAACATAGCTTAACACCGCGTTGAATTTCTGAACAAAACTGATTTGTCAAACATTTTATGTAAGCTAAGTTTCCATTCAACTGTAAAGTTAGTTTGTGAATTTCTTCAATAAGAAACATCGAGTGGACATGTCCTCTATTAAAGTCATTAAGAATTAGTAAATTCCAACTGATAATGCTCACCCTTCTTTGATTTCAAATATGATTTTCTTTCTTCTGTTGAAAACAAAATAAGATATTTTAAAGAATGCTTTAACCATTGACTCCTGTAATATCTGTTTTTATACATGTGCTATATAAATACACACATTACATTAATGTATATGATAAACTCTGGCTTAAGATTTGCTGAAGTCAACAGTCTGTTCTCTCCAGCAAGTTGATGCTTTTTATGTTCATTTGACGTTCAGATATCAGATATAGATATTCAGATATTTCATGGTAAAACCATGAAATATCTGAATATCTACACAAATGAAGAATGCTGTCTGTAAAAAAGTGCAAAAAAATAAAACAAAAAATTGGTTCTAAAATGTTTACAAGCAGGGGCTCCACGGTGGCGCAGTGGGTAGTGTAAGGCTTGAAGCTTACGCTGCTATTCTGAACCAATAATCGGAAACAGGAAGCAGTTGAAGGATGGCGTGTTTAAATCCATTATTTATCTGACTCCATTGTAATTAATCTGACTGTTGTTAGGTCAGTTGTTATCATCATTGATGAAGAGAAAGAATCTCTACGTCTTAAAGCGGGCAAAGTTGTTTATTAAGTTACAGGTTTAAATATACAGACATTAGAATGAAACAAACTAACATACTGTATAAAGAAATTAGCTGTAACATATGCACTGCTGAGCAACAAAGACAGTGAAACTGCCTTTGTTAGCATATGAGGCTACGCACTGGTGTGCGGGAGATGCAGAGTAAAAGCCATTCTCCCCGATCAACAGTTACCTTTCCTTATTATACCCTGAGCAAAGCATTGTCAAACATGAGTGAAAATCAACCCCCAAAACCAGCTGAACGTGAGAGCAAAGTTGAAGAGATGAAGTGGGGGAGAAGTACATTAACATACTCTCCTCAGGCCATGACCCAACAATAGTAAATATATTGTAGATTGAAATACAATTAATCAATGTCTCTGTTGATTTCATGACTACAACACTGAAGTCATAAACTGTCAAATGACACCAAACATGACAAAGTTATCTGAAAGAAGAACACAAGCAGATTAATTGTGTATGGTGAAGAGCACATGGTTAATGTAAGCAAATGGCAGAGATGTGTATCAGAGCTGTGAGGAACTCTGCCTCACCAGGAGGACCCATCCCATGCTTGGAATGTCTCAGTAGTCCTTCATTAGCATAGAAGGAAATATATATCATATTTTCTCAGCTTACAGTAGCACAATCACGTCACAGCAAGAAGGTCACTGTTTCGAGCCCCAGCTAGGTCAGTTGGCATGTTCTCCCTGTGTTTGCATCTGGATGCTCCGTTTTCTCCCACAAGTCTAAAAAAACATGTGGTATAGATGAATTGGGTAGGCTAAATTGTCCGTAGTCTATGTGTGTGTGTATTGATGTTTCCCAGTGAGGTTGTACCTGGAAGGGCATCCACAGTGTAAAACATATGCTGGATAAGTTGGTGGTTTATCCCGCTGTGGCGACCACAGATAGGTCGCCACATAGGCACTAAGCTGAAAAGAAAATGCTAATGATGATGATGTTTACAAGCCAAAGAACTACCTTATAAATAACTGCTAAAGAACCAGTTTGTGTGTGTGTGTGTGTGTGCGTGTTGTCAGCTATCAATTGCATAACATATTAACCTTTAATCATTTCACACAACAGAGTCAACATCGGAAAACCACTTCTAAATCGCAAATATGAAATTTTCCTTTACCTGGGGTCAAAAGCGATGTTCGTTTTCTGCTCTTCTGCTATGAGGCCCATCTGCAGGAATATCCTCACAGTCCCTAATCCAGACGAGGAGACACTCATTTGGATAATAGAAGTGGTGGGTATCAGAACAGCATGCAGTGTAATCTAATCTAATGACATTTGGATTACTGACTGAATTCCTTCACCCATTAGCCCAATTTGATTTACACAAGAAAGATTAATTCAGTCCACATTTTAAAAGGTGATTTTTCTCCGTCTGTCAGACCTTTAGGCCATTGCTAAATCCAGTGAAAGATTCAGGATCAGTTGCAGTTGTCAATATTCACACACAGCAACACCAATTTAGCATCAATCACACATGCTATAACATCTAAACGCAGCTTTCAATTGCCATGCTGGTGACCAGGCAGAGTTCATTAGCATGAGCAATATAAACCAAGCCTCCTGTCTTCCCAATTTAGATTGCTTGTCATCAGATTTGAAAATGAGCTTCAGGCTTGGTGCATGAATGTACATCCATGAATTACATGGTTGAATACACAAGTCCTTCAGCTCCTTTAATATGACTAAACATTACAGATTACTTCAGGCTAGTAAACAACTCTTACATGGCTCAACAGGAGTAAATATCGCACTGGCAAATTTAATGTTCATCATAGATCATAGAAGAGGAGAACATTAAAAAAACGACAACAGGAGTATTGCTTGGACTCTAGAGAATGCCACTTCAGTACAACTAATTATGAGTAACTACAGAGGCTGGTTTAATGAAGGACTGAATGAGGCATGCCTGCAACCCATAATAAATGACATTTCCTGAAACCTTTTCAACCTCAGCTTCGGCAAGGTAGCCTATTAGCATCACTCATGAAAATGTCATTAGATAAGATACAGACTCAACTCGTGACCCACAGGAGATAACATTAACCTCTAAATTTTCCCTGAATATAAAAAAAGGTGATATTTGGAGGTCTACATGTTAAATTCAGAGGCCTTTTTATTAGTGACACCAGTGGCCGTTTACTTGCTAATGCACTCATTCATGCACACGCAAGAGCCTGAAGGTGATTCAAGGTCCTGATACTCATGGCAAAGTTTCTTTTCAGGTTTTCTCTTTAATTAGAAAGAAGAGTGGACAATTCTGATTATTGAAATATAAACCACATAGAAAATGCAGATAATACATTTGAGTAACGTTTTTGATTTATTTAAAGGACTAGTTCTCCCAAAAATAAAAATTCCCGAAAAAGTGTTCCAAAGCTGTTTCTTTCTTTTGTTAAAGAAAAAACAAGATATTCAGAAATTTTGAAAGCAGCAGCCATAACCCCTTCCACACTGTGATAGCAGTAAATATCCAGAAGGACTTTACCTATAAATAAAAAGTGCTGTTCACATAGGCAAGCACGTGGGGGATTTTTCTGGAGAAGACCATTTACACATCTATTCCAAAATACGGGTAAATTCTAACATCATTAACCAGAAATGAGCTCTAAACGGTTGTGCTTGTATTTCTAAACATAATAGGGGTAGGGCTTTTGTTGATAGTTTCACTTTTATCTAAAGCTTTAGCATTCATGTAGCTGATTTTGTACCAGAGACATCCAAATGCAGAGGCGCGAACCGCAGCTAATTATTTACACATTTGACTACATTACAAAATCTGTAGATGGATGGGTATTGTAACTTCGATGAAAACATATGGAGGTACACTTTCGCATGTTGAGATGTACATGATGCGTGTGTGTGTGTTGGAACTCATGGTAACGCACGCAAGCAAGGTAAACAAACAGCGGCTAATCATAAGTGTTTTATCAAAATTTTTTCACACAGTAGGCATTATGAAGGAAAATAGAAACGTTATCTGACTAACATCAAGCAGCTAAATGTGTCAGGAAAAATATTTAAATGCTTTTATTTTCATAAACAGCGCAGATGTGACAGCGTCTGAATGTTCTGATTGGCTGGAGTAGATGTCTAACAAGAGTGCCATCTAAACGCCAACACGCTCATTCTGGCAATTTTTCTACTGTATTCACACCCGTCATTGGTTCACACAAGGTAGAGTCTAGATTGGACACGCGGCCAGCCAGAAGTGCGGTATGCACATCAATATAGCAGCATTTTTTATGACACTGTATAACAATAATTAATATCTTTACAATACTGTGACAGTTGGGTTTATGGAAGACGTCAGGGAAGACGTTAATAAAACACAATAAATGGGAAATTTAATAAATAATATAAATAATTCTCATTAACTTCCAGCGACAACAGTATCAGATCTAGCAACAACCTTCACACAGATCAGCATTCCGGCAAATTACCGGTAATGTTACAACTTCCCTTTCCTGAAAATTGATGAAACTAATTTACAGGTATTTTCAAAAAGGGGCTGTTTACACATGATCTCTTTCCAGAAAATTGCCAGTAATTCTCCAGAAAGGTCTATATGTGTGAAAGGGGCTATTGACTTCCATAGTATTTTTGTTCCTATGGATGTGTTTTTCAGAAAGGGATAATGTGTGAATGGGCTCTTTTTGAAAATACCAGTAAATTTGTTCCGGCAATTGTCAGGAAAGAGAAGTTGTAACTTTACTGGTAATTTCGGTAATGTTGCAAAAGGAACATTTCTGGAAAGACATGAGACGTCTTATCCAGCCAATCAAAACATTCAGATGCATACAAATCCGCATTGTTTATTAAAATAAAAGCCTTTGAATATTTTTCCAGACCCATTTAGGTACTAGTTGTTATTCAGATAACATTTCTATGCTCATTATTAATGCCAACTGTGGGAAAAATGACCAATAAGATACTTATGATAAACCGCAGTGAGTTTATCTGCAAGCTCATGCACGTGAAAGATAAGCGCTAGCACAGAAATAAATTTACATCTCTATATGCGAAAGTATTCCTCCATTTGTTTACTACGAAGCCATTTACAATACTTATATGTAGTGAAATGTGTAAACATTTAGCTGTGGTTCGCATTTCTGTCTTTGGATGTCTCGGGGACAAAAGCAGCTACATGAATGCTAAAGTTTTAAATAAAATTGAAACCATCAACAAAAGCCCGACCCCGATTATGTTTAGAAATACAAGCACAGCCGTTTAGAGCTCATTTCGGGTTATTGATGTCAGAATTTACCCGTATTTCGGAATGGATGTGTGAATGGTCTTTTACAGAAAAATTCCGGAATGTCCTTGTTTTTTTTAATTTACCGGTATCACTGTGTTAAAGGGGCTAATTGCTGCTGGTTTCTAAGATTCTTCAGAAAATCTTGTATTGCGATCAACAGAAAAAATAAAGTTAGACATAGTTAGAATCACTTGCAAAAAATGGTAAAGAAATATACATTTTTGCATGAACTATCCCTTTAAGAGATTCAAAATGGACCATGCTCACTGCTTTTCTTTTCTTCAAACTCAGAATAAGGCTTAAAAGATTACACTAGAATATATGGGTAATATACTTTTTTAATTTGCTTAACAGATGATGCATTCATGACAGAACTCAATAAAACGTAAAGCAAAATTCTTTGCTGGACATCTCCTTTTAGTCACCCTCATGACTAAGCCCACAGAACATAACACACACACACACACACACACACACAAACAGAATCAAACACCAAACTATGATTAAAAGAAAAACAATCATCAATATTACTTGGAAATATTTAAGCGCATAGAGCATTTTGTGTGTCAGTTCAGCAGTATTTAGTCTGGTGGTGTGTTTTTTTTTTTTTTTTTTTTATCTTGAGAGAGATACGTAGTTTGTCCTGATTGGAAACATGTATAAAAAAAAAGAAAAAAAAAGAAAAGAAATAAGACGATTTTAAAAGTTTAGCCTTAACTCCTGTCATAAGTCCCATTAAGAATGGTGGAGCAAGTTGTTTTGCCAAGTATGAGACCTTAAACGCATCATGTTCAGTGTTATCTGAGATATTCCAACCATAACCATAACCTTCTGCAAATTAATCTGAACAGCCGAGTAGAGTCTCCCTCACAGATTGAGCAGTTTATCTTGCTTGCAACAAAAAGCGCAGACACTAAATCAACAACCTCCAGGATATGTGGGCATGTGTACACAAACAGACTGATGGAGGACAGGGAAGATTGCCATAAGAGGGAACAGAACATGCAGAATGTTGCACCTCCAACTCACTCTCACACACTCATAACTGGTACGCAGCACACGACACACAGTAGTGACTAAAAATAACCTAAATAAAAATAAACTGTAGAAACAAAACATGACTGCAATCGTAATCTTAACCAAATATAGAGATGCTGAATCCAAAGACAAGTTATACTCAGCAATGGTGTAGTGCTTCTGCATAAACACACAGCATTCCCTTCAAAGAAATAATGGAAAGACCAAAATTATCGAAGAAAGAGACGAGCGTTACCGAAACTGAAGAAAATAAATAAATCAAGACTTAAACTTTGAATTTTCAAGCAAAAATGCTGATGACGAAAGCTAAATTAAAAACAGCAGTGTTGAAGGTTTCTCTCAACTGTGGAAAACAAACCCTTCCCACCACTAGATGGTTAAAAGCGAGATCTCCCTCATGTTTGCCCACCATGAGTGGTGAAAAAACGTTTACTGGGAACGCACAGGGAAGCGATCATACAGTAGAGGCAATGAGATTTGCTAAGAAGAACTTCTGTGGAATAAAGTTGATATTTTTTATCATTCATGTTGCATTTTAGATATCATGAGAATGGAAACAGAGGGTGTTAGGAATGGAAACGAATAATGAGGAAAAATTCCTTGGGATTCAGTCAATGCTGTGAAAGCACAGTCTGAGGGAAAGTAAGACAGTGGGGGGGTTCTTCCTCTGACTGGTCCAATCGAGTTTTGGGTTTCAGTCACCCGAAGAACTCCCGGTGAGATCCTTCTGGTTTCCCCCAAACTTCTTCAGTTCTTCAGCACCAGCTCATAGCACTGGTACACAAACTGAGAGACCTCTGGCGCTCTGCACTTTATTGACAGCTGAGGACAGAAACCACACAGAGATTAGAATAAATCAAAGACACGTTGGCAAATACTGTATCAAACGCTGATTTACATTTCAGAAAAATGTTAAGATGTTAAGATTTGAGCTCATGCCACAATAAGAAAGTTAAGACATTTCAAGGTGAAGAAAAAGGTGCGAGAATCTAGTAAACCAATGCTGAAAACCTGCCAAACCTATAATGTAATATAAAGCTTTTTCACTGCGCCAAGCGCAACCACGAAACGAAATTACAAACAATGTCATGTAGAGGATCACAACAAGCTCTGATTTTATGGCTAACACGTCCAATTTTCACTCTTATTATAAAGCTGCAGCAAAGGTAAGCGTGATGTTAGTTTTGTGTTCTAAAGCAGTGTTTCTCAACCGCGTTCCTGAAGGACCACCAACATTACATGTTTTGGATGTCTCATGTCACACACATCACAGGTCTTTTAGTCTCTGCTGATGATCTGAATCAGGTGTGTTTGATTTAGGAGACAAATAAAAAATGTGCAGAGCTGGTGGTCCTCCAGGAACATGGTTGAGAAACACAGTTCTAAAGCATAAAATAACTCTAAGTTCACTATTGTTCAAAAGCGTGGGGTCTGTAAGATTGAATATTTGAATCTCGATGTCTGGCGGGAACACTTTTAGCTTAGCTTAGCAAAAGACTATAGAATGTACAAGACATGTCACGTCGATCGCTGTATGGTGAAAAAGCCCACCTTCTAGTATAGGAGCCAATCATCAATCACTACAGACTGACGGTCCACAGGGGAAAGGGCTTGGACAAGATTCGAGTTTCTGCAGATTTTGTGTGATTTGGAAGTTTAGAAATGAAACTAAATAGACAGTTGTTCTTTAATTTGTTTGGTGATTCTTAATATGAAATTCAACTGTTAGCTTGGCAAGCAATTGTGGAGAACTTGATGTTTCCCTATTCAAACAGAATGCTAGAGCATACCGCACGAAAGTTGTTTCAAACATGGCCGCGAAGTGAAATGACTTGCTTTAAAGGGACTTTGGCTAAGCATAGATCATTGAATCAGATGAGACCATTAGCATCTCGCTTAAAAATACCAGTTTACTCATGTAATAAGGCCAACAGAAAACAAAAAGCTGCTATTTTCTACAGCAGCAGGCACGATGATATTACACCGCACCTGAAAAAAGACCCCTGATAGGTAAATGTACAAGCAAATAAGCCAATTTTCAAGCACTGCATAATATCATTACAGAATGAGTATATTTCCAACACATATCAGCCTAAAATTAGCAACTTTGTCATCTGTCTTAGTACACAACGCTACAATCAAAGAATCAAGTTTTAAATAGGAAAATGATTAAAACATGTCATTTTTGAACGATATGCTAACGGTCAAATCTGATTCAATGATCTATGCTAAGCTAAGCTACTGCTAAGCTAAACTAAGCTAAGCTCCTGCCAGACCCAGAGAAAGAAAGAGATCGGCTGAATGAATTCCTTTAAGTGTTAACATTAAATTGTGTGGGATCTGAAAGAAAAAAATAATAATTAGGTAATGTTTATTACAAATTAAAGGGTACATGAAATGACTCAAAAAATCTGTAAAATCTTTTGTGTTTATGAAAGAAATTTATTACAAATAAATGCTGTTATTTCTAACTAAAATATTTTATTTATCATATAATCATAAAAAAATTTATGACTTTCCACAGAAATATAAAAAAAACTTTAAAATCAGCATTAATTCAGCACATTATAATGATTTCTTAAGGATCAAGTGACACTGAAAAATGCAGTAATGTATTTTCGTAATTCAGATTTGTCATTACAATGAATTACATGGAAAATAGACATTTAAATTGGGGGTAAAATTCTATGAGTTCTGCCTTTGTGAGTCAACACTTTCAAATGTTTCTGCAGCAAACAACTGCAGCAATGTGTAAGTAAGCAGTGTTTACTTGCTGAGAACTGCTTAAAAAAGCTGTTCCTCCTAAAAGGATTGCATTTGGCACGCACAGAGTATCAGACAAACAAATGCAGACTAATGTCAGAGGAGCAACTGTGCTTGGAGAGGTCACAGTGAGTGGAGACCTTCATCTACTGCAACACCTGCTTCCTCTTTGTCAAATGAACCTGAGGCATCTCGCAGACCAATCCTACAGAGGATAATCAGAAAGCCAGTAGCTAAAGCGCAAGAGGACACTGCATGTGTGAAAGGGAAAGAGATGAGCGTGAGGGAGAGATCAATGGCACAATTTATCCTTCCTGAATCCAGGAGTTCTCTCTGGGTTTTAGTGAGATCGCCCTGCAGCTTTCCAATGGGCTTTGGCAATTGTGAATTTTCCACTAGTGAATAGAAAGAAATCAGTGCTGCTAACACTCAAACAGACTACTAATACAGTGCTTACTCGATATGATAACTCCAAACAAACACTACACATCTGAATAAAGTAAAATGATTTATAATAGAACAGAATCAAAGCTAACAAGAATAAATGGTAGTTTTTTCCATTTGTGTATTAATTGTTAGATATAGTTAATTAAATACATGAATAATCAGTATTTTAATGTCTGTATTTAAGTATATTATAGTACTATACTAGTATATTAGTAAATTAATAATTACGTTTTTGCACACTTTTCCTTTTGCTGCATCACCATGAAGAATTACAATTAATACAATAAAATGGTCAAACCTTCAGCTCTCGCTATTAACAAACATATATATATATATATATATACACACACATATATATGTATACACACTATATATATTAATACATAACTTTCACCTCAAACTCTTAATTTGATGCTTATTAATATTTAGTAATGGTTAGGTTTAGGTATTGGGAAGGATTAGGGATGTAGAATATGATCATGAATAATTAATAATTGGCATAATATACATAGTAAGTACAATAAACATCTGATATATTAATATTGAGCATGTTAATAGTAAGAACTGTAATAACTAGTTAATTGAGAACTGGATCCCATTCTTAAACACACCAGATTTTTCTGAAAATAGGCTCATTTTACGACTCCCCTAGAGCCAAACAGCTGAGTTTTAGCATTTTTAAATTGTTTAAGTCGATCTCTAGGTTTAATGTCACAGACATAGAGATTAGCTTAGATCATTGAATCAGATTACACTATTATCTTGATCAAAAAGTTTTGATAGTTTTCCTATTTAAAGCTGGACTCTTCAGCAGTTACCCTATATATTGAGAATGACAGAAAATGAAAAGTTAATGGCATGGTTACACATTATCATTCCCTGGATAATGCTTTGTCAGGTCGCGCTGCTCTTCTGAAGTAATTCACAACTTTGTCTTGATGGCGAATCTCCTTCAGAAAGCGTTTACAAGTTTGTGGGCGTTTGAGTAGTTGCTCTCATGTGATGTGTGTTTGACAGGACGAACTGTACCTCGCATTCGCTTCATACAGATATCAAAAAAACATTTGTTTTCAAGTGAACTTGGTTCATTTAAAAGTACAGATTTCAGGCTTTATGTGACTATATTTTTTATGTCTTTGAAAAAAAGTATTTTCTGAGATTACAGTGTGTTTGTTGACCACAAAATCTGTTATAAAAGCACACGTCTGGTCCGACCTTCTCCCCCCGAAGTAAAGTCAGTCTATGGCAATCTGTGATTGGCTCCTCTACTAGTAGAGGACTACTTTTTCCCCCATTTAAAACTATACAAGTGACACGTCTAGTGTATTCTTGAGTCTTTGATAATATATTGCACCTAGTTCAGCCATTGTACAGCAACAAAGTTCCTTGATCATCAAGTCCAAATGAGAGTACAGTTCCTAACCATAAGAAAATAGCAACTTTCTATCATCCGAACTTGTCTGAAAAGCTTAAAAAAATGGTAAACTCAATAGTTTACCTCTAAGAGATTTGCAAAACAAGCCTCTTTTTTTTTTTTTTTTTAAATGGAGTGTTCCTTAAAGTATTACCAATGACATTTGAAAAGCTAATTTAAGATAATTTGCTAACTAGTAGCTAGCTCTCTGCAACTCTCACATGGCTGCCCTCTAAAGCCAAACAGGGCTGCACCCGGTCAGTACCTGGATAGGAGACCACATGGGATAGTTACGTTGCTGTCGGAAGTGGTGTTAGTGATGCCAACAGGGGATGCTCAACCTGCAGTCTGTGTGGGTCTTAACACCCCAGTATATTGATGGGGACTCTATACTGTTCAGTGAACGCCATCTTTTGGATGAGATGCTAAACCCAGGTCATAACTCTCTGTGGTCATTAAAAATGTCCTTCGAAAAAGAGTAGGGGTTTAACCCTAACATCCTGGCCAAATTTGCCCACTGGCCGCTGTCCATCATGCCTAACCATCTCCATATCATAATTGGCTTCATCACTCTGTCTCCTCTCCACCAATCAGCTTGTGTGTGGTGTACGGTCTGGCGCAATATGGCTGCTGTCGCTTCATCCAGGTGGATGTTGCACACTGGATGCGGAGATTCCCCCCATTGTGTAAAGTGCTTTGAGTGACTAGAAAAGCGCTATATAAATGTAAGAAATTATTATTATTATTACATGACGATCATGCTATAAACAGCCAAAAACATCAGCAGAAGAAATATGCTAAGAACATCCAAGAATGAGTGAGCATATCCCCAATCAAATCCCACTTCGCACTCCCATTAGGTCTGTCAGACGTGGAGGATTTTGTCTTGCTTTCACACAGAATGTAGTGGGAGCAAACACACATACAGTGATGACACTGCTGACTTTCTTTGTGGCATCATCTTCCTGTATGCAGAGGCGTTTCATTAACAGTTGCATTGTTCTATAATTTGACTCGAGAGATTAAGTGAGAGAGGAAAAAAATAGGAACGAAAAAAAAAAACAGATACTGCACAGGTGGGTGGTGGGCAAAAACCACAGAGAGCAGGAAGAGTGGATGGTGTGACTTGAAGACTTGGAGATTTGGCAGCGGGCTGCGACAATGGGGAAGAATGTAATGAAAGCGCAAATGAAAACAGATGAGATGGTGGGATGACAAGAAGAGTGGAAGCAGCAGGGTGCTGCATGGAGGACTGTGGAGAAATGCTTCAACCGATTCCTGCCATTAGACGCTCGCTCGCAGTGTGTAAAGGGGAAACAGGCCGTGCCATTGGATGCTTAGTTGCCATAGGGATGATGAACAGTGACAAATTGTAGAGCTTTATAGCTAACAGAAACATTGATGGATATTTGGAAAGTACAGTATATCACTATAGTTCACAATATAGCCGTTTTTCAGGGCGTGCAGATAAATATTGCTTGTGTGCGACAACAGGCAGGAACAAAACAACCATGATTCATGGAGCATGTGTCTGAGCTGTGAGGAACAGTTCTATCCCTTAAGGCGGCTGTTAAAACGGAAGATTTGCAGACCCATAAAGGTGTGTTTTATGTCAGTAATTTTCCAACAAAAATCTGTGCATCTTACAATTTAAGTGCAATTTTTAGTCTTATAATTATTTACAAATTGAAGATGTATTACAATGTTTGTCCTTGGTCTTCAAATAATTATTCAAATAAGCAATCTAAAATCTAATCTAGCCAATAATCTTGTTATATGTTTTTGCATGCAGTGACAGGAGTAACTGGTTTTCTCTGTATCATACTCTTATCTCGTCACATTTAATTCAGACTGGCAGCCCATATCTCAGATAAAATATCATTTCTTTGCAGAAGCGATGGAGTGCTGCTGCTTAAAAGCGCCGCAGGAAAGGCTGATGTGTGTAAAGGAGACCGAGTCTAGTGCACATTAAAAGCGCATGCCGTGAGTGGATGGGCTCCTGTTGAAGAACGAGTCCTTTGATGAAGGCTATTCAATTTGATTATTCCTGGAATGAAATGTGAAAACAATTCTGAGGACACAACCTCTGCCCCCTTTCCATAATTTCATGCTTGTTTTATGTGACAGACATGGAAAATTTAGAAATGTGACTATTTCTACACAATTCCTCATACTGTCAATATTCAAACCAGTTGCTGGAACAAGACGTCATGTTTTGTTTTGGGTGCATAAATGAATACATTGTCCCATAAATAATAGGGATTAATTATATTACTTTCATTTTAAGATTTTTATGCGACTGATTATGTAATGATAATATTGTAATATATCATAACCAAATTTGAATAAATTGCACTATAAATATACAGTTAGTTTTCTTCAGTTTAAAATCATTGGACCACATAATCCAAAAAATAAATTACACAAAATTTTCAGAAATGTCTTTGGGACAGATAAGCATCTATTGAATTTGTCATGGTTTTATTTTTTGCTCCAAGATTCAAATTGGAACGAATCTTTGCATATTTTGGTACAATTACAGCTGGATCAGATTCTTTTAATTAAGGGATGTTCTGAAGAAAGGCATTAATTAGTCAGTAAACAAACTGCCAAGGAGGTTTTTGCTATTGTTTTGGAAGAAAATAGGGTATATGCAGAGCTAGTGTTTTTTCCATACTGATAAACTTCCGTTGAACGATTAATGTGACTTTTTCCATTTTATGCAGTTCCTTTTACAGCATTAATGTTGTAATGTAATTAAAATATAATCAGTTGGCATTCATTTGGTTGTTCAAGAAAAAAACAAGACAAAAAGCCGTTAACTCACACACGCTCGTCAGAATCGGCAGGCTAGCGCAGAAGCTCCATTAAATATACTGAGGTAAAATACATGTTCATATTTTAAAGACATGGCGGGGAAAGATGTAAAGTGAATTAATGTAGTGTTCTTGTACAATCTGAGACCCACTTTATATGGTATATCAAACAGACCTTAAACACCGGCGGTGCTTAACCCACATTACTGACAAACTAAAAGTCCTTTAGCATACTTCGGCATATAAACCATAAGAGACTTCAACGTGTAAACTATGGTTTTACATTTTAATCTTCTTGGGTACTCTTGAATGGAAACCTTAAGCAGTTTTACCAAAATCTTGGCATCCATGTTTGCATTTTTTCCTATATCATGTTTTGCAATTTTAACAGGAATATAGAAGGGATGGTTTGTGATGAGGGGGTTTTTTGTTATCATTGCTCGATCTCTTTTCTCTATCCTTCTAATTTTATTGCAATCTTTGTTTATGTAATATGTATACAAATTATATAAAATTGCAAATCCTTTTTGAATCTGTGTTCAATAAAAATTGAAGAGATGATCCCAAGGTATCCTAAAACGTGGCCCAAGCGGTATCCCGAGCTGATGCTGTTGTGGTCATGGAGAAATGGAGTGCATGAGACTGATTCTGAAGGACCACCATGACAAACAAGTCCCCGCATTGATCCTGTGGGCCAGCCTGACCTCCCGCAGCTCCACACAGAAAGTTTGGCCAGAAGAATAATGGTCGTGCCCAACAGAGCCTAGTTTATCTCGAGGCTTTTTTTTCCCTTCACTTCGTCAATTGGTGAATTTTTTTCTCGACAGTCACTGCTGGCTTACTTGGTTTGGGACTTGTGGAGCTGTGCTTTGGTGTATTTTTTTTAGTGTTTGAACTTTCAGAAGTCAAAACTAAACCACACTCAACTGAACTTCAACTGAAATCTGGACTTTACTAGAACTATGTGAAGTTACTTTGACACAATCTACATTGTAAAAAAAAAAAAAAAAAAAAAATTAAAAAAAAAAAAAAAAAAAAAAAAAATCGCTAAATACATAAACATGAATTAAATTGAATAATTGGCGGTTCATTCCACTGTGATAACCCCGGATAAATAAGGGTCTAGGCCTTAGGAAAATGAATGAATGAATGAATGAATGAAATGCAAAAAAAAGTGCAGGATAATTTACTATAGTACTTAGGTTAGGGTTATTGACAGGTCTAGTCATGCAAGTGTGACATACAGCACGTACTCAACTGAAACAAAGCTGCATGTCTGTGTAGTCATAAAGTAAAATGTTACTGTTATACTGCTGTATAGTTGGAAGTAAAAGAAAGAACCATGCTCATGTGAAAGCTGCAAGGCGTTTGAGATATTAAGTGTTTAGTTTGGCAAAGATGTTTAGCTCAAGTAAAAATATTTTTTTTGGGATTTAAAAAAAAAAAAACACCCAACCTCCATTTCCTGCATTGAGATGTCATCATCAAAGGTGAGTGGAGAGATGAGCAAAAACACAGGGGACAAAAATTAAAGAAAACCAACACCACATTCATTAATGTACTGTATGTGCGTTTGTTAAAGGGGTGGTCCAGAGTGTATTTTTAAGGTTTGGTTGTGTTTATGAGATGCAAAGCAATGTGCGTTCATGCTTCATTCGTAAAAAAATGACGTTATTTTTTTATTTATCTTACTTTGATTATATACTGCTACTCAGCTAACATGAAAATGACGGTCATATTTCCTAGTTCCTCCAAAAGGTCCACCGTCAAGAGGCTCTGATTGGTCAGCTAACATAATGTGCTGTGATTTGCAGATTGGCTCCATGTCACCAGGAAAAGTGTCATGCCCCTACAAGCACGCGCTTTTGCGCTGTGTAAACACTGTCAGAGTAGCTGTTAGCCGTTTCAGTTTGTGCCTGAATCAGATAGAAAATGAAAAGGACATAGCTGAACCTTACGCCTGCTCTCTAAAATAAAATCCAACAAGTGTACTTCACATATATTCAGAATAAGCATGTGTAAGTAATATGTAACATTATCTTTTACGAGTTCGTTACTTAAGATGTATATCGCAGGGAAAGCAGCCACATAGAGAGACACTGCAGAGCTGCTAAAGATTGTGGGTGTTTACAGCGGTTTGACGAAAAAATATGAATTTGTAGCTAAATTGTTAACAGTGCCAAACAGCATTTCCCATTGTTTACATCCTTGCTACAACATACCGTTAATGCTAGAAACTGTGCATGTAATGGATCAATTTTAACAAAAAAACCCTTACAGGTTGTGGCTCACAATCTACAGCTTTGTCTATTATGGTTGGAGCTGCTCCTTTTTTAAAGAGTTTTTAGCCGGATCCAGCACTGAACTGGGAGTGATTCTAGAAGCTATCCTTTGTCAAATGCTACAGCTATATCTATTTTTTTTATAATTCTCTGAAACAAACAAAAAAAAAATAATAATAATAATTCTAAGCACTTCTGTCTTTGTGTCACGTCCTTAAGAATCCCAAATACAGAACCAGAAGAAGCTCAGTGGAAATAGCAGAGTTTGGACGGCATTTTAACTTTCTCTGCTATAACATTACAGCATCTATGGCCACCCTCCGGTCCATGCGTTGGAGTGTATGCGCATGGTGAATGTGTGTAGGCCAAAACGTTTGTTATCTCACTAGACTCTGTGTATTTTTTATATTTCCCAAACTTTGTTCGCTGTAGGCTGTGCTAAACTAACTCTGTAAAAGCCAATGCCCCCCTTTGCATTAAACTTTAAGCGTTTTACATTCAGAGAGGTTGTTTATGTTCGCGCAGCTACATTACACATCCACTAAAGTTTAAAATATAATATCGTAGTAGACCACCCCTTTAATGTATTTACTAACATGAACAAACTAAAAAAATGATGTTTGCTGTTTGTTACAACTTATTTAAAATGAGCTGCAACAATTAACGTTTTTTTCTTAAAAACTTAATTGTTTTATGTTCAACCAACATAAATTTGTAAAAAGTAATAGGTTAACTTAATTTCTTTATGTTGTGTTGAACCCAGCATTTTTCAAAGTGTAGAAAATGAAACTTGTTCATGTTAACTCTCAGTGCGCATTGATATTAACAAGCATGAATTCGGATTTTAATAATGCACTAGTAAATGGAGATCTATGATTAATAAACGCTCTACAAGTACTGTACATTCTTGGTTCATGTTAGTAAATACATTAACTAACGAAATTGTAAAGAGTGTTCAATGGGTTTAGATGCCTTTATATTAGATAAGTTTATGTAACATATCTAAATCAAAGCAAAACTCTGTCAAATACCATTTGTGCCTCTTTTGCTTAAAAGAAAAATCATTTAAAAATGTACCGGTGTAATTATACCAATTAAATCTGAAGGATTTTTTTAAAAATGCATATGATATTAATAATTAAACGCTTTTCGGTGGATGTATATTCCACTACTGGGAATACACGCTGCTGTTGCACACGATACTAGCTACACTGGAGATCTGAAGGAGACCTGCTTTCTTACAACTATGCTTGAGGCATGATTCATGTGGGAGAGGAACATGAGAGAGAAGAAACATACTCTCTGAGTGATAAGGACAAATCCCTCAAACCAAGGGGAGGATTGACATGTTTTTCCTGACAGGCTTCTCTTCTTACCTTCACCCACCCAGGATTCATCGAACACAATGTTTTAGTCTCTAACCTACAGCATTCAAGCTGACTACACAGCATTTCTGGACAAAAAAAGCCATTAAAAGGCATGCAGCTTGCTAGATTTTAAGACAGCGTTTGATCTTCCCAGCAGTCCTTTCTCCTCTGATTGTCGTCTTCTCTCAAGTGTGCACACCAACACACAGATCTTTCTCCCATATGATTCATTAGGAAGTAACAAGAAGGTCGTTTTGTGAAACACTCTCTCTCCAGCATATCCTCTTGTATTTATCGATCTGTGTGTGTGTGTGTGTGTGTGTGTGTGTGTGTGTTAGAGTGGTAGTTTGCTAGTCTCTTCACATCCTTTTAAAAGCCACTGCAAAGTCCTCTACCTCTCTTTGTTTCTATTTACCGTATAGTTAGGGTTGCCAGTTTGCACACGCATTTCTGCCAGCACCCAGATGCCATTGGTGAGTTTGATGGACTGGTAGAGCATGTCTTGGGCATCCACTGTCCTCTTGGCTATGGTGAAGATATTACTGCCCTGCAGCTTGTTGCTGGCTGCATCTGTGAGGAGAGAAAAGTTACTCATTAACAAAACGCACAGATTTTCTGAAAACAAACGAAACCTGAGAGAGTCTCTATGGCAACTCTGCTGCTAATGTGTATTTTTACTCGCACATTGCCATATGAAGCCAGTGATTAGTCTGATTTAAAAGAATAGTTCACCCTGATGAAATGTATATTCCTCAACCCTTTTGTTCAAGCTTTAGATTTTAATTTCTCTCTAAAAGAAAGAGATCTCATGTGGAGATTGCCTTATTTTACAGAACTAAATGATGTATTTTCACTTCATTAGGTATGTTTCCATCAACCTATTTTTATGCGTATTTTAAATATTGAATATTAAATTTTAAATATTAAATGTTGATGGAAAGATGTGCATGAATTTACTTATTTATAACAGAGTGGGATAAACTTTTTATTCTAGAAAAAAAAGCACTACAAAAGGAACACTTTTACTGAACAAATCCCAGTATGCGCGTGTGATGATAAAATGTGTGTGAATGGATAAACCAGTCGGCTGAGCAAATTATTAAACATCTGACATGTTGTCTTAGTCATTCTAAAACACCTTAACCATTTCAGCTTTAGTGTTATTATATTATCAATTACCCCCAGAACTGTCAGGAGCATCTGATGCCTTCTTCTAAGGTGCAAGTCATTTATCAAGAAAAGATTCAAGCAGCTTCTACTACCGCAGTTAACTCCATTTTTATGATTGATATTTGGCACCAGTTAATCAGGAAGTGATTTTGTTCGCTTCGACTCATTGCATGGAAACGCTGCTTTCTGTGCTTTATTCGCAGGTATTTTATGCAATATTCCAGTTTTTCGCACAAATTTCATTCGCATGTTTGGATGGAAACATAGCTTATATTTATATATTATGTCATTTCATTTTTTTATTTGCTACCCACTCAGACATTCTAAAATTAAATTCCATCGAAATTGCAAACCCAAATCCTGATATATATTTTTTTTAAATTCTGTGGGTCAGCAAATTCTAATATGTTTAATACCAACCCACATGGAGTGTAAAAAAAGGAGAGGGATTTAAAAAGAGCACCAAAGACACCCACTGTGCATTCATTAGCAATATCACTGAGTATGTGTGTGCATGTTCATGCCTGTGTGATTCACAATTATTTTATGCAAACAATCCTGCGGAAGTGGATCGCTCCTTAAAAACCTTCCTTGAGTTAATTACACTCAGACATGCCATTGGATCAGCACGGCTCTTCAGAGACAGCAACAGGACAGTGTGTTCATTTTAAAAGATGTGTGTGTGTGTGTGATTGTGAATATAACACCAAGCACAGATATGGGTAGAGCTCGTTTTGCCATCTTTTCTTTTATTATTTGTTTCTCTCCATTCACTTTCACCTTCCTTTCTTAATGCACTCATGCATGGCACACCATTTATTCCCATTACCTGAGTTGAGGTGTACGTCTTTGATTTGGAACTGTGCCTCGTTGTCATTTGGGATGTCCTTCCAGGTGGCCAAAAACACTTGACGTTCTAAAGAGCAGAAGGACACAAAAGCAGCATGTGAGAGGACGCCCGTGAAAAATGAGGAGAATGAGAAGACGAGAATAGTTTGGCTTTGTCTGAAACTGAAGGTTGCCATTTTGCTGCCAGGAAGACGTTTCTGTTTTAGACTACAATGTCATGTCTAAAGATGTACAACCAAATATAGTGGGGATTAGAGATTCCAAGCAAATATATACTTGTCTTTTGGTGCAAACAGAAATAATAGGTAACATGGAAAATGTAATTATTACAAAATAATGATTCTTTTCTTCATTAAAACTTGCAAAACCATCTCGTCAAAAAAAGTTCTGTTCCAAGTGTAAAAATGTATACAAATTCACTAGCTATAAAAAACTCTGCTGAAACAAAATGCATGAAATATGATGTAAATGAGTAAAATATATATATATTTTTTTTTTGCCAAATGGGGACATTCTGTTTTAAAGGTCAGCTTAAGTGTATCCAAAAGTACAAACAATTGGCTGTTATTAACAATGAACATATTGAAAACAAACATAATAATAAGTAATAAGCAAAATAAAAGGTCTAAGGCACTTGAAAAAGTGAAAAAAGGTAGCCTGATAGACCAAATTACCATGTTCATAAAGTCTTTTAAAGGGCACCTATTTAAGATTCTGTGTCTTCAGAATGTGTCTGTAAAGTTCCAGCTCAAAACACCTATCAGACCATTTATTATACTTATAGCCGAATATTGAATTTCTGCTTTGAACACAATGTAGCTGTTTGTTATCCCTGTGCCTTTAATGCTAGTTCTTCTTGCACACTGTTCCTGCATGTCAGTGTGCACCTCAATCTCCAGCTGTGATAAACAGTACAGTGACAGACGTAAAGGAAGCAGATCTCATATAAAGTTTGTGAGAAATACTTCAGTAAGAGCTTTCCCAATGATTATTTGATGTATTTGTTGTGGAGTTAATACAAGCCTTTCTGCGGCTGTGGTGATAAAATAAAGACAGTAAAAATCGCTGTAATTAATTACACGCATGCACTATTTGAAAACTGTTTAAAATTTGTAAAACTCATTCTTGGTAACATTTGATGATGATTGATAATCACAGAGAGCTGAACAGCTCTTTTAATCTCAGTTGTTTTGCGAATGTCTTGTCTTGTTGATACGAGTATACACGTTACTACAGAGACATATTAATACGCGACTGTCAATCAAATTGGTGGAAAAGGAAACCCCACTCCTACGTCATGTTGTGGTTAGCCTCAAAATTGGAGGGATTTGGATATTATTTTAACTTCAGAAAATTTTAAAGAGACGTATTGTCTTCATATCACTCCAATATGACTGTGGACACACAATACCTACACACAGTTGTCCAAACAGCTTACAAAAGATGATTTTCATCATAGGTACCCTTTAAAATAATTTTCACTTTTTTTTTTTTTGAGTGCCTTGGACTTATAATTTTGCTGTTTATATTTATCTTTATGTATCCTTTACCCAAAGAGCAGGGACACATTATTTACATTAATAACCCTTGAAGCACTTTTTGTTTTATTTCAGATTTTTAAAAAACTATAACCTTTCAGCTTCTCACCATAATGAAATCCAAAAACATCCAACATTCTGTAGCATTTTTTGCATACAATTCCATATTCACTGACTACTTCTCTTGTTCGTCAATGCAATAACTTGTTTTGTTAAAAGCCAAAATCATGTCTACCATCATACAGTTTATCATGTGCGCCACTAAATATTTTTTAGCTTATTGCCAATGTGTCTAGTTGTAATGACTACAAATATTTTCATACAACACTGTGCTTTTTTATAAATAATAATAACACAAATACAATTAAGAAAAAATCTTTACATTTAAACTAATGCGTACAAATCAAAAATATTGCCCAAACCTTGGTAGAAAACAAGATAAAGCATCCATATGGACGTTAAAATTTCCAACCCTGCACAGCGCCCCACTTGAAACGTGCCCAGATGCCCATATGGTTTATCTGAACCTGATTGGAGTGTGCCTTTCTATTTTATATTCTGCCTAGAAAGACAGTTTTTTTTTTTAACCACAGCCAATGTGCATCTGTATGACGCCCTGGAGATACTGAACTCCATTTAAAAGACTCCTGAGGAAAGCTGTAAGTACTCACACACTTCCCAGGATACACATAAACGTCCTTTTGTGCACATGCTCAGTTGGTCACAGATCTGCTCACACTCAGATGCATATAACTCACAGACAGGCACACAAAAACAATTATCTAAAGGACTGACGTCACAGTCACCGCTGCTTGCGTGTGAAAGGACGCATGCCGCGATTAAAAGCACACACACACACAAACTCACCCATCTTTCCATCCTCTACAAAGAGCAGGCTAAGAGGATACTGGCAGCTGAAGTAGAACACGTCAATGTTATTCTTCACAGCTACCTGCAACACCGACAAAAAGAGAGAGAAAAAACACATTATGAGTGTGATTTAAGACACCCTGAGGTTGTGGACAAGGCACTCAAATCCTGTTAAGGGCAGGCAGGTTTCGTCCATAATTCTGACAAAATAAATTGCCCTCTTTTTCTTCAGTGCTTTGAAAGAATGGCACACACACACAAACAAACACACTAACAGAAGAGAGATAGATGGTCCTTTGATCATGCCTTTCTTTGACATTTTGTTTCTCTCTCACTCTATTCTTTTGTTTAAGCCCCTCTGTGGCTTTGCAAGGGTTGGGTTCAGGTCCTGCGTGTGGAGTTCACGTTTGCACGCCAATATGTGAACTTCAAACATGCACGAAAGCCTCAGAGGCACAGCCTGACTAAGAGGATTGAAGATGTTCACTGACAGCTGGAGAAAGCAGAGCGAGTGTTTCTGTCCTGGTTGATCAGATTCAAAAAAACAAAACAAAAAAACACCTGCTTTAATGAATAATCAGCATTGAAAACTTAGAGACCCTTTGAAATTTTCTAGATTCTTTGGGTTTACAGTTTATGTACTTACATTTTAGTTTTATATTCCATAATGCAGTCTTTCAAGACATTTATATGTTTTGACAACTTAATTCAAATTATGTTTAGGTAATAAAAAATAATATAATAAAATAAAATGACTAAAATAAAATAAACATTTGTTGAAAAAACCCTAATATTAACCCTTTGACAGCGCCTCTATCAAACAGTTGACCATGTTTTTACTGTTTTAAATAATGACTGTTAAAGTCATTTAAAGAATGACTGTTTTAAATAATGGTTAACAGACACAGCATTGTTGGTTTACAAAAAGAAAAAGAAAAAAAACATTCTGTTGCACTACTACACTTGATTTTGGTTTTATTGTAAAAAAACAACAACAACAACAACAACAACAACAACAAAAACAAGAAAACATGTTAAATTAGAATCTGAAATATTTGACGGCATACTTAAAAAGGGATATTTAGTATACAATAACATTTCATTTTGAATATTATAAAAACTTAATTGTTCTTACATTTTATACTTTGAGATTTTTCATAGTATATATATTAATTCTGGTACTTTTACCAAAAACCGACATATCAACCATTTGGTAGAGGCTGATATTTTAGATATTATGGGATGTGTTGAAAAAAATGCATTAAGTGTGTTAACTTACAACATTAGGAGTTAAAAAATGCAATCCACACATTTTCTTCTTGGTGGGGGAGTAAATAGTTAAATAGCATCCCATTTTACTCAAACCTATACCTAATAAATTCTTAAAATGCTTAGAAAATGTAAATGACGATTTGTTTTTGTTTTGTAGATAGCTCTATGTATTTTATAATATTATCTGTATTATTTGGATTGCACTGCATGTGATGATCATGACTTTTGAAACTCAGCCAAAACAACAACAACAACATCAGAAACACCAGAGAAACCACCTGCTTTAATAAATAAACAGCAGTGTAAAAAAAAAAAATTAGGAGACCCTGTTGATTTTTTTATTTTTTGGGGGGGTTTACAGTTTCTAGTTATGTACTTGAGTATAATGCATTTTCTTTGTTTTATATTCGATAATCCACTGATAACGTTTCATAATTTAAAATAAAAATTTCATATAATAAAATGCAACCTTTTAGGGCATATTTATAATTTTAGAAGACGTGATACTATTATCTTTAGATAATTAAAAAATGTTAAAATAAAAATAAAATAAAATAAATAAACAAACAAACAAATATTTGTTGAAAATTTTTTTTTTAACTAGCAACCTGTAAAAACTCAATTTTACTCAAATTTATAACTAATAAATTCCTAAAATTCTGAGAAAATGTAAATGAAGTGATCTCTTATTTTTGTTTTTGTAGTTAGATATGTATTTTATAATATTACCTATATTATTTACATTATACAGTATATGATGATCATGTCAATTTTGAAACTCAGCAAAGTTTTAAAAAAGCTAAAAATAGTAAAAACTAAAAAAAAAGAAATAAATCCAATCATTTCTTTAAATTTTAAACATTTACACTTTGTAAAGCAATAGATTTGCAACTGAAAAACAAAAAACAAAAACTCAACACCACATTTTCATCTGATTATGGCTGTAAATCTTTTGAGAGCATGAGGGATTGAAAGGCACCCAGGGGAGCTTTGTTAAAGCTGACAGCAGGTGCGCAGCATCCATCAAAATACAGGCTACACAGACCCGGATAGGGACAGACAGTCCCGCATAGACATCCAGACCTGCTACACTCTGCCTCTGAATAATTCATCCAGCCAAACCGCTCTGAGCTGCACATGCCAACTTCATTCATCCATCACTTATATAACTGCAGTTAAAAACTAAAACCACCTGACAAAATAATATATGGAAAAATATAAATTCCCAAAATAATGCCAAATCAAACACTTCATTCATTCATTTCCTTTTCACTTAGTCCCTTTATTAATCAGGGGTCGACACAGCGGAATGAACCGTCAACTTATCCAGCATGTTACATGCAGCGGACACCCTTCCAACTGCAACCTGCCACTGGGAAAAACTCATCCACACTCATACACTACAGCCAATTTAATTTATTCAATTCACTTATAGCGCATGTCTCTGGGGGGAAACTGGTGCACCTCTCGAACCAGCGGCCTTCTTGCTGTGAGACGATTGTGCTATCCACTGTGCCACCGTGACGCCCCAAATCAAACACTTATTAAATTTAATCAGGGATGCTCCAGTCGATCGGTTAGAGATCGGTATGTGCCGATAAATCACACTTCATGACTCGATCGGTACTCGCTGATCTGGCCGATTTTACAAACTGATCACATTTGTTGGTTTACGAGTTTTCAAACAGGACTTATAAGAACTGAAAACTTTCTAGATTTCAGAATTTAAAGTTCTGTGTTTTCAACAATATTGCAAGTTAATTAAAACCTGGCTGGAAATATTAGGGGGAAAAAAATTTTACTTTAATATTTAGTAATATAACTTATTGCAATAAACACTAGTTTACAAACCTATTTCCTATTAGTAAACAAGCATTGGATTTAGAGGTGTGCGCTTTAACTTCTTATTCATCAAATATGCACTCCAAACGTCATTGAGACATGCTGAATTCTTCTTTCAACATTCGCAATGTCTCCAAATTGCTTTGTTAGTGATTATTCTTACCAATATATTTAGATCTATTTTATCTATTATTTTCTGGAAAGCTGCTTCTGACCATGATGTGTCAACTCTAAATGGTTATTAGAGAGATTTATAAGGAATTCAAAAAAGGACGGTATCAAACTTAATAATAAAAGTAAAATTTGCTTTATGCATTATAAAGCTTAAAGCATCAGACTCGGTACTTTATATCGGCATGACAAGGAATTGGTATTCGGTATCGGCTGCAAAAATCCAGTTTGGAGCATCCCTATAAACTGAATTGTTAATTATTTTTACATTTTAATTATTTAATTATATTAAATTATTCAATTATCTACAACAGGGTGCAGGTTTCATCATATCAAATTTAAGAACTTTTAAGACCCCTTTAAGCCCATTATAAATGAGATTTTAGACTTCTACAGGGCTAAACACTTAAGATTTTTTGTTATGTTCCGGTTGGACTAATGGAATTGGAAAAAAAAACGAATGTAATTATTTCTTGACCACGTTTTAATGTGTCAAAACAAGAAAACTGTAGTTGTATACACTTTTTTTCAATTAATAAAATCTTAGGTTTCATGACTATTTATAAATATGATGTCCACTCACCCTTACTTCTGTAAATAGTTTTTGTGTAAATGGAAGATTATGTAAAGGGATATATTGCTGCTATTATCATGAAGAATTGTGTAATTGCTGTTAGTTTACTTTTTCTTTTTAGGGGATTTAATGAAGAGAATTTGCTGTAAAATGTCTAACAGCTGTTGTGAAATAAACATCTCTTTGCAAATAAAAAAAAATATTTGGATGGGTTGTCGGGCGATTGGCTAATTTTACTTTGACAACTTTTAAAAATAAGACCGGTTAATTAAGACCTGCAACACAATATTTCTGTGAATTTAAGACTTTTTATGGCCTATAAAGTTGTTTTTGAAATTTAAGACATTTTAAGATCTCACAGACACCCTGTATAACTACCAGAACCAAAGAAAATGTATATTAGAATCGGTTTCTCTCTTGTTAAATGCATCTACAATTTTATTGGCCTTGATGACAGTGAGTCAAGCTGCAGGGAGAAAAAAAATAAAACATCTTTCATTCAGTGTATGAGTAACTAGGATTCACTTCCTGTGATGCCATCGAAGTGAATAACTGATCTATTATCGGCAGCCACGTGTGAAATTAATAAAGCCACAAGACTCTCTCAGCTCTGGAACTATCAACTGGTGTAATCCACGCCTGCAAAGATTGGAAACGCATTGTAAGCCAAAGCCCATCCAAATCAAAATCCACGTGCTGAAGCGGTGAGCCGCCTGAGCTCCAGAAATATTGTTACATCAGGCCTGCAAAAATGGAGATATCTAAAGAAAAAGTGTGACAAATCCCATAATCATCACAGCTCTCCCAGCCACTAAAACCCCTACTGATGACTTCAACGATTAGCATAGAGCGGAAAGTGAAAGAGACACATTCATGAATAACCATTTGATGTTAATCTAACATGTGAACTCCGACATGATCTCCCTCTAGGAAAGCTCAATACGTGCAACCAATCTGAAAATGGCACCCTATAAAATCTTCAGATTGAATCTTGAGATTAAAACGCTACATTATCTGAATCTTTTTCAGCAGCTGAAACCCTCCATTCTACATTTTGGCATTTGCTGCATCCAATCATAACAGTTCCCAAAGCTCAACGCAATCTTCTGCTTGTGTTTTAATTACTACCAATTAGAGACTCTGTGTTCCACAATGCATGTGCCTTCATTTACTCTGTTGGCTTTGTGGGTTAATCCCTAATGCGCTCGCTAGAGAGAAATGTGAATGACTCCACTGAGGGAGATAATATGCTAGAGCTAAATCAGACCTATTGCTGTGCTGTTGCAGACCTACATGATGGATCGATAGAGGACTGAAATGGACATGGATGTAATGATAGGAGGAGAAAGGTAGAAAAAAGACAATTGCAGAAAGGGAGAAGCAAAGGGGAGCCACTAATGATGATTTTTTTTTTTACTGAATCTCAGCTGCTCTCCTCCACAAGCACCCACACATAACTGTCTCTCACTGGAGTGGCTTTTTTGGGCTGCAGCATTTGGTAATAATGCCCGCAGGGAGCTTGTTTTATTGCTTAGTGTGCTGAAATGCATATCGGAACAGCACTGGTTTCATATAGTGCATGAAGTATGATGCAGCAGAAATGCAATGCAAACGTCACCTGGAGATTGTTGAGTGGTTCCATTTTCATGACAGGGCCAGTTGTGCCGAGAGGCAGACTGACATCAATCGTCTGATTTGGGGTCAGAGGAGTCAGAACCTGCAGGGGGCCAGCAGGGGCCAAACCAAAACTACAGAAAGAAACAGAAACACAATTAAGAACAGTGACGGAAACACGTCTTACTAAAATACCTAAAGTCAAAACATACCCAAAAGCAATGTTTCTGAAATGAACAAATGTGTAACTGTATTTGGAAAAAATAAGTCAATAAGGTTATACCAAAATCATACTGCATGATTTTCAGAGTAGTAATGTCATAGATCTTTTCACACTGCATGACTGTCTGGGATAGCATTCTGTTGCTGCTGTATTTACACTGTTTAAACTGCAAGATGGATCGGCGATAGGGGGTTTCACACTGCATGAGTTTACAATATGAAGAATAGCCGACAACTTTGTCTTGGTCAAACCAACCAAACCCACGCGAAAAGTGACATAGAACCAATGGTAGGTCACAACGTATATCTTTTTATTAACTATATAATGAGAAAGAAGCTTTAGTGGGGTAGAGAATGTACTTATTTTGCTCACCAGACTTTTAAAGGAAATAATTTGTCCCTCACCCTTTTTGACTCCTGCCAAATTTACACTATTTTTTCCTCCATTTAGAATAGACCAAAAAGAAGTTCTTTTAACTTCCCCCCAACCTCCTGCTGGCCTGCAGATACCCAAACTAGTGGAAGCTGCGCTCTCATCGGCTGTAGGTTATTTTTAATCAGAACACATTACACACTGCATGATTTGAATCGCTAACAGCTCCAGATATTTAGCATGACAAATATCTCACGGTTGTCTGCGACTCATCTGCCATAGTCTCAAATCATGTCTATGATAGTTCACAATGTCTGAATTTTACTCATGTGAATGAAATTTCAGGCATTTGTCTGCAAATTCTCAAAACCTGTCTGCGAGTTAAAATCGGGGCTAAAATCATGCAGTCTGAACTCGACCTTAGTGGTGGTATGCAATTTAACATAATTTGTTTTGATTGAATTTTTATTACACAGCACTTGATTCTGATTGGTCAATTACAACATTCCAAGACATGTTATTCACTGATAACAGCCAATTATACAATAACATACAATACAATACAATATAATAACAAGCTGCTGATAAGCCTATCAGGTTTCATGTCAGGGATACTGTACATCTAGGCAGTTGTTCTCACAGAATAAAGTCTCAAAGGGTGTAAAAAATGTTGAAGAAAAAGCTGACAGTTTTTAAAAGGGCTGCATGGAGTATACATTAACCTACCATATTATTAAGACATAAGATAGCATCAAACAGTCAAAAACAGCCGCAAAACAGACAAACATATTAACAGATATGGATGTATTCATGTTCAAAATATGATTTGAAGCACCCCAGATGAGTTATTCAGCAGTTGCTATCTTAGAATAAAATACCCTGGGATTTTGTGACTGACCAATCAGAATCATGTAATTTACACAACCATGTATGATCTGCGATAACAACCAGCGGCATGTATATATCTCTTACATATAGCATGGTGGTCCTGCGGGGGACAACTTTTTATTCTATTTTGGTCAGAATACTGGAATTCAGAACCAATTGGTACTGAAATAAATTTTTTTTAAAAAAAAGTCAATTCCCCACGAACATTTGAGCACTGTTCAGCACATTCTTAAACGCCACTGATTTACCATCGTGCTTAACAGAAATGACTGTGATTGGCCATGAAGATCATTAGTTCACAGAACTCACCACTGCTTATTGAGTGTAAACACAAATACAGGGACACTGGAGTGTTTCAAAGTCTCGTCAATTAGCTGTTATGTCGATAAGCTGACATATGAGCGATGCGCTAATGAATCGCAACATTAAAACGCTTGTATCCCTGTATCTGTGATTACAATAAGTAAACAGAGGTGAGTTTGGTGAACCGATGACCTTCACAGCCAATCACAGTCATTTCTGTTGAGCATGTGAACAAAACGACAAATCAGTGCTGTTTAAAACACGCTAAACAGCTGTGTCAAATGTTCACAGGAAATGTTTTTTTTTAGTACCGAATTTCAGTATCATGACAACCCTATTCTATTCTACATGTCAACATATAGAGAAATCACAACATACAAATGCTCTTCAGAAATTAGCTATTGAATTATGTTTCAGCCAAACAAATGTTATATATTCCAGCAGTGCTGTCAAAAAATATCTATATTTTTAATACATAGTGATATATAAAACATTCAGATTCACTTTTCTTTACAGTACTGGCACTAGATACAGGCTCTCTTGCTCTCTTCTGTCTGACAGCAAGTTCACTAAGATAACAGTACTACACTAATGTCTCCTCTCATTCTCTCAGCAACACAGTCTCATTAGTCCAGCTGAATCTCGTTATAGTGCTTCAGTGACAGCAGTCTAAATAAACCGCCTGCCGCTTGTTTCATTAGTGTTAATCAACAAAAGACAAAGAGAAAATCACTCATTGCTCTTGACTGATTTGCTGAAGGAAAGATAAAATGTATCTAAATTAATTAGTCGCACTTATTTTAAGCTACAACTCTTTCTTTTAATAAACCAGTAACTATGACTTTTGCCTTAGTAAACTCCTAATCTGCAGCCTATTAATAGTTATAAAGGTAGCAGTTGGGTGTAAGTATTACAGTTGGCAATGTCAACCACTTTGGCATCATACAATGTCTGATGTTAAACATCGCAATGGACGATGGCATCGTCGTCATAGGTGGCAGTGAATTAATTATTAATGAATAATTAATTAATTCATAACAAATAAATTGTTTATAGCCTACCGTTTCAACAACCTGACCCACAAGATTGACTTATTTAAATCTAATAGAAATGTTGCACACTTAAAGTTCAGATTTTTAATGCAGTCGTCTTTCTTTTTTCTAGCATTGAAAGCAAATTCACTATAGCAACCGCAACACCCTGTCAATCACTCACAATAGGTTAGCGTTATGTGAGTGACATGACTCAGTATGGTAAACAATAGTCTGAATGTGCTCTGCATTTGACCCATACAAGTGCACAGAAACAGCAGCAGACTCTGTGGCAGTGAGAAAGCATCACTTTACACATAGATAAGAATATGACCTTCTGATGCCCTTGTTTTAGTAGAAAGACCGTAGTATGTATTACCATTTCCAAAAAAACAGACTTTACAACAGTAGAAAGTATTTCTAGACAGAAATCCTTAACTGACATGTAATGTGTATTTGAAACATCATCATTATCATCACCATTAGGTACTTGAATGATTCCACTGATCACATTCCTGCATAAATAAATGCAGCATTTTTCAAAGCATACCTCCAAACTGATTAGGAAGCACAGCAGATACTGCAGAAAGAAGCCTCCTGTTCTGACAGTTGACTCACCTGTTTCTGTTGAACTGAATGGCGAAGTCAGTCATAACGCTCATGGCTTTGTTGGTGAGAGACAGATCCATCTGAATGATGCCGCCACGTCGGGCAAATGTCCCAGAAATCTCCAGCCCTTTAGCCTTCATTGCTGGTAAAAACAACTGAACCCACAGTTAAACAGGTGAGAGTTAGGGGTGTTTTTCAATAGTTTTCTCATTTACTGTGAAAAAAAGTGCATTAGATGGACATTGAATTACTTATGCAACGTACAAGCTTTTTTTTCCCCTAATGCTATGAGATTTGCTTTTTTTATTCCAGTTTCTATTGAATATTATAAAATTATAATATAATACTGATTCAATTTGACTCTGTATTGAAAACTACAGTGGTTTTTGTAGGGCTTTTTTGTTTTCTATTCAAAATTATTCAAAATATTCAAAAATGTTCAGGATTATCTCTTCTTAAGTGCATCACAGTAATGCTTAAACTAATTAATTATACAAGTAATATTAATTATTCACCTTCATAATCATGTTCAACTCCTGTCTCTATTACTATGTAGGAAGTCATTTTATGATCAGTGTTTTATGCCAGTGGCCAGTCACCTGGACCAGAGGGACTTTTGACCACCTCTGTACAGGCTGCTTTCTGGTTTAGGAAAGGCTTTCCTCTCCACAACAGCCATCTCAGTCCCAAGTGAAAGAGTTTTGTTCATCAGCAGGGGACATTGTAAATGTGCAAAGACTTCAGCTTATCCCAGAAAACATAGATATGCTGACATAATTCTTTTTTTTTTAAGTTATTTTTAAAATAGCAATTTGGTTACGGCAGAAAATATATTGTTTTGCAAAAAAGTGCAGCATTAAAGACAAAAATGAAAGGGCTCTTCGCCTTAAATATGTTTCAAATTATTTCTTAAAAAATAGTGACTAAATCGTATCATGAATCGTATCGAATCATGAGTCAGGTGAATCGTTATATCTCTAGTGCCAAGCGTTTGTGTGCTACATGTATAGGCTGTTTTTCCAAATCTGACCAATCAGATGCAACCTTTCAGTCAGGTTTTCAGTCATTTGTGGTGTTTTCAAGCCTAAATTGTGGCATCTTGATAGAACTTTTTAACAGGTATTTATCTAATTAGCTCAGAAAACTATGTATTTATTATTTATTAATAATCAACAATTTAATATTATTATTAATATTGTTATATAAGTATTTGTTTTAGTATGATTATAACAAATATATTATTTTAAATTGCTTATAAAAAAGCATTTTGCAAGTTTGCTATATTGTAAGAAATATCCTTATTGCAACATTCAACAATAATATAGCATATTTCATATTTCCAAAGTATCATGCAGTCCTTATTGCATGCTCCCTAAGAGTGTAGGAAAAGCTGACACATAACAAAACAGAGTTGAAAAAGCAGAGGAACTGCTTATATATGATTCCTGAAGTCACAACCTAAGATATTAATTTACAGTATTGATTGATTCTATACTTACAGTTTTAGGAGCAACATAGAATCCCGTTGGCATGCCAACACCCCCACCGAGGTCAAAAAGGTCTCCCAATCCACCTCCAACAGCCGGAGCATTGCTCAGAGCAGCAGGCATGGCTGCAGGGGCCCCCAAAGCAGCACCCATCTGAGCAGAAAGAAATTAGCATTACAGCTTTACAAGACAATTACAAAAAGGGAGACATGAACAGAAGTTAACTAAGATAAAAGACTTAGAAGGGTGAAATTTCACAGCTCTTAGATTAATGAAGGCAAACCCCTATGTTGATGCTAATGCTTCTCTGATAAAGCACATTTATCAAAGTCTGCATGAACTTTGCAAAAAAAATAAATAAATAAATAAAGAAGTTCTCTGACTTACCGAAGGACTTCCACCGATGTCTCCTCCCAGCTGGCAAAACAGAGAGAGGACAAAAAGTCAAAGTAACGATCAGTGAACAGGGAAGATGGTAATAATTAGGAAGAGGTTGATGAAGGGTGAACGAAACTCAGTGAAAGCAAGTCAGGGTATTGCTAAGAAATCTGCCAGACCATTCAATTTAACACTCTTCTTGCATTCTAAACACTGACTCCTTTAAACTACTTTCAACTAGGGCTGGGCGATATAAAGCATCAATCAATAATAAAAAAATAAAGTATGTAGTTTATACTGCTGTATGCTCATTGTATAATTTACAATCATACCTGTTTTCTTAATGATCATGCATTGCACATAAAAAACATACAAATAAAACCACTGATTAAAAAAAAAAGTTAAGATCTTTAAGTTTGATCAATGATAAATATTCTAAAATTTCTCCAGAAGACACATTTCCTTAAAAAAAACAAATCTGAACAAAAATTCCCTCTCATATCACTTAAAATGTTCATCGCTTTAAATGAAGGTTTTATAGTGAAAATATTATTAAAGTAAAAAATATATATTTTTCTTCACCCTTGCAACAAAGGAGTGTGGGAGACTTAAATGGCCAATTCTACAACTTCACTGTGAAAAATGCTGCGTTCCACAAAATTATTTTGTTATCCCTACACAAATTGATTAAGTTAACTTCATTGTTTTTACCAATTTAATTGGATTGAGCATAACAATTGTGTTGTCCCCAAAAAACAAGAATTGTGTTTTATCAGCTTATTTTAAATATGTAGTTTGAACTAGCAGCAAAAATATATATTTGTAAGTGTTGCATGTACAACCTTGTCTTGATTTAACAACAATAAATGCAGATTTTGCTTAAATAAACAGTTCAAACTTATGAGCGGATTAATTCGAAGATTCTGTAACAATTATTCGATGTTAAAAAGTCCCACTACACCACTGTAAATCCATAAAATACATATTTATTTATTCCTTGTTTATACACTGGAAAAATGGTTCATTGCAAATTGCTGCAAAACATTTATAAAAGCTGAATTTAAACAAACAAATTAGGTTGAACATTACTAAATTTAAAGGTGCAGTATGTAAGTTTGACACCAAGTGGTTGAACTAGGTATTGCACTCTTGACTACAGCCTAAACTCTAATTTAAGTTGTGTTCTAAATAAATGCAACGGCACGTGATAGAAGGAATATTTTCATATTAAAAGGAGGTTTTTATCCAAACAACATGTGGAATTTCTTCATTTTATAAACAGCTTCTATTTCTCACAGGTGAACAACAGAAAACTGACAATGATCACCTCCATAACCATTTGAAATTGAACTTTAGAACTCTGAAATAATGCAAACCAACACATATCAGTGATCCAGCATCTGCATTTAATAATGCTAAATATGTAATAATTAGATTATAAAGCTTACCATTTCATGGGTGTGTGCAGATTCTGTGCTTCTGAATGGCTACATTTAAATTTCTGTCATGTTTCGTCTGGTGTAAACAGCCAATTTGCTGATCATAGCAAATCTCGTTACGTAACGTGTTGTTAGGACACAGGGTTAGAATGTAACCTGCTCACCTAATGTTTAGGTTCGTAATATTTATATTATTTGCTAATTAATAACCTTATGTGGCCTTCTGAATCTGCATCTCATTTTGGAGTCTGCTACTGTCCACCAGAGGTCGCATTTTGGTCATGAACGCATGCTTTGAGAGCCTTCTTGACTGAATGAACGAAATACACAGTTTTCCAACAAGGCAACCCGGGGAGCTGAAAAATAATTGGCTAAAGTGGTATTGGGCGGGTTAAAAAAACTGAAGACATCGTTCCGGCACATAACTCACATCTGACTTTAGCATTGTTTTTCAGATAAACAAGAATGCTCGCTCATGTTTCTTAAATATCTGAAAACATATTGTGGTATTATTATGCTTTAGAACAGTCAAAACTTGCATATAGCACCTTTATTTGGTTTGTTTAAACTCAGCCTATATAAATTGTTAGCAACATCTTAACTTAAAAAAAAATTAAATCCAATGAAACATTTTTTTCAGTGTAGTTTCAATCAAAGACAAATAATAACAAATCAGCTTTTTTGGTGATATGTATATCATTAGTGTGGTATCAAGATTTTAGTCATGATCGCCCACCCCTACTTTCATCATACTACACACTTTATACAAGACGTGCCTACATGTGCAGAACTACAACTACCACTACTAAACCCATATATTGGGCCAAAATAAGAGTGGAAAGGTGCTTAGTGTTCCTTCCAAACTGATCTGAGAGTAATTTATGTTATGCAACAGAGAATAGTCTGAGATCAGCACAGAGGAAATATTTAAGGATGAGCAAGGTGAGAACATCAACACCCACACAGACCTCTCTCTCAGAATAATCAGAAGATGGCTGAGGAGACTGCATCTCGGTCCTGTGGGAAACACCCGGCTGACAGAGCAACAATGACAAACGGATGAAATGTTTACAGTGAGTCAAAGCAGAAGAAATGAAGAGAAAGAGACTGGGGATTTATATAACTATATAAACATTTATGGTGTAATGTGGTTGCATCAAGCCTTGGATTTTTTATGATGCCCAATGACATCACAGATAAATCACAGCCATTGAGATATATTATTAATGCCGAGAATCTTTAAATGCAGGAAAAAGTGGTGGTTGTAAATAACAGGCTTGTGTTGTGGCTGTAAGCAGCCCTCTGCTGGTGTGAAGTGTACATCTGTATACCAATACAAATCCTCAATTCAGACTAATGAAATGGCATGATATGAAAGTGTCTGCTTCCTTTTGACTAAGTTTAATTACCGTATCTGATTCATCGCCCATCTGCAAGTGTAGCGAAAGGATAAAAGAGAGAAGGGGACGGAAAAAATACAAGAGTCAAAAAAGAGAAGACCAGAAGGGAAATGAAAGCAAGGAAAGTCAACTCGAATTATGCACGAGCATCTGTGATTTCTCAACAGACACAATTACATTGGTTAAGGGACTTTGGATGTGTGTTTAAGGAGAAGGCAGCTGATCTGGGATCAGAATCTACACGGATGATCTTGATTTAGTAAAGTAGGTCTGGATGCCAGCCAAGTCAATGCCAACTCAATATAAATGTCCTACAACACACGCGAGTTGAACTGACAAACACATAACCAAAAGCCTGGATGCCACAGTTAATGGACACACAGATGGGACAGATGGCTGTATTCATTCAGGCAATTACACAGTTTTTCTTCTACGTTAATCTAATTTCACCACAATGGGGTGATCATGTTTGAACTTACCAGACTATCCAGACCTCCTCCAAGTAGGTCCATGGCTCCCATCTGCATTGAAGGCTGAACTGAAGGAACAGTGGTTGTGGCCGGGGCCAGATCCAGGTTCAAAAGGTCCCCCAGGAGATCGCCCTGTGATGGAATGACTGCAGGTGGAGCTTCAGAGGTTCCAGACTGGCCAACTTCAGGGCTCTCGGCACTCTCTCCACTAATAGAGACAAAAATTTGACAATCATTTATATACAAAAAGAAAAAAATTATTTTTTTTTAATATCAGGGATGCTAAATCCTGTTCCTGCATATCTACCAAAATGCAGAGTTGATCAAACACACAAGCTGCGTCCCAAATGGCACACTATACACTATGCACTTATTACATTCATATACTGTGCTGTTGAGAGTGTCGTCCCAAATGGAAAACTAAGTTTTTTTAACCAAGCAGAAATTCATACTGTGACCCTATGATGTTTGATAGTTGCCTAAATAGTGAAATAAATGAACAAACTACCAATTAATACCTGCCATGAATAACCACATTTACCATCAAGAGGTGTTATAATCACTCTCATAGGAGAATTTTGCTTTCGCAATACAAAATAAATAATCCAACATCAGTGCCCGAAAGCTCTGCCCCTTCCGCTACGCATGCGAAGCAGCTGCCATTAAGCGAGTGAAGTGTCCAACATTCCACACTTCATTTTACTGGTTGAATAAGTGCATCATCCAGGTATTTACAGTGCACTTACTATTTTTAGTGTTTCAGTGTGAACGCACTACTTGCACTATAACCAACCTTCTGTCTCGCTACAATCCAACTCGCTCTTTAAGATCTCAAAACTCAGGGCTTCTGGTAGTACCTAGAATAGCAAAGTTGAGTAAAGTAGGTTGAGCTATCTCATTTATGGCTCCTAAACTCTGGAATAGCCTTCCTGATAATGTTCGAGGCTGAAACACTGTCTCAGTTCAAAACTAGATTAAATACCTATCTTTTTAGTAAAGCATACACTCAATGCATTACAAACCGGTATTTTGCATGAATGTGCTCCACGCAGGTGAGCTAGCTTGACAACCACCTGCAGGACACACTCCTCTTCAATACACAAGACATTGTGTAAGAAACTCTTATATGCTTTACATGTTTGTTTCTGTGTTTGTTTATATAACTGGTATTTTCATTTATACCAACATCTTTGCATCTCGTTTAAATACACTATGAACAGCAGCTATGCTAATTATTCTCATTCAGAGGTCCATAAAAACTATGCAGCGCTGTTGATGCGATTCCAAGAATCCATAATCCTAGACCAGGCAGTATCCTGAGCTGATGCAGTGGTCGTCATGGAGGAATAGAGTACATGAGACTGATTCCTGAAAAACCACCACAACAGAAGAGTCCCACACCTGCAGTTTCTCCACAATGGACGTCCAGCTTCTCCAGCCTCCGGCACCAAGACTACAGTTCCACACAGGAAGTTTGGCCAGAAAAACAATGGTCATGTTCAACAGAGCCTGGTTACTCTCTGGGTTTTTTTACCAGCAGGACTAATGGCTAAAATAGACAGGTCAGGAGACCTGCTGCACTGAGTCTGCATTTAGATCTATGATTCAGACCCGGGGATTGAGGGAGAAGTCCTCATTTATAGTGTTTATATGAACACGATTATCTTTATAATGATATAAATTGTGGTTGTCTGTATATGAAATTACGAATAACAAATGTAGCAGGGCATTAAATTACTGTTTATTTCTTTGCATTTTAACTTTGTAAACTATAAACGCATGCGTCTCCTCACGGTTTGACTCATTTTGTGAGCTAACTGACATCAACAGTTGTTCGCTCCCCTTCTCCCCTGCTGGCCACGCCCACTCCTGTCCTATGCTCGCGGAGCTCCACACCCATTAATCATGCATCTTTTGAAAAAATTCTGAAGTAGACTTTAACCGAAAGTGCGGGGTGTCATGGCCCTTTAAGCCTCGATCACACTAGAGCTTGAGCTTGCGAAATTCTGTCGTAAAGCACTGTGAAAAGAGGCTAAGTCAGTTGATTAGACGTTTAAAAAAAGCGAGCAATTGCTCCATATTTAAAATTTCTGTACAGAGAGGTCATGTTTTGATCTTCTATTAGTCCCGTGCTATCATGTGATGCTATTTCGCAGGTCAGAATTCCCCAAGCTTAAACTTTTTGCACAAAACTTTAGCTTGCGTTTTTCGCATATAAATAGAATTCTATGGGGCAAAAAGTGAAGTGTTTTATATGATTTAAATAAAGATAAAATAAATGAATCCAAAAAGTAAATATATATAATCGCAATGTCAAATTTTTTTATATGTACAGGTATATAATGAAACTAACATTTTGATATTTAGCTTTTCTGCCATATATTTTGCGATATACTTTGTTATACTTGTAAAGAATTTTTGGTCACACTTTATTTTAAGGTTCAGCTCTTGCTCTAAGCAAACCATTTTGACTTTTGCTACATTCATTCATTCATTTTCTTTTCAGCTTAGTCACTTTACTAATCTGGGGTCGCCATAGCAAAATGAACCACCAACTTATCCAACATGTTTTACGCAGCGGATGCCCTTCCAGCTGCAACCCATCCCCGGGAAACACCATACACTCGTTCATTCACACACATACACTACGGACAAATAAGCTCATCCAATTCACCTATGTCGCATGTCTTTGGACTTGTGGGCAAACTGGAGCACCCGGTGGAAACCCACGCGAACACGGGGAGAACATCCGTGAAGCCAACTTTTGCTACATTAAAACTTCTAATTTGCTCCTTAACAGTTATTAAAGTAGATTAGGTATTGGGTAAGATTAGAGATGTAGAATGATATCATACAAAACATGTATAATTAGTAATAATATTTAATTAGAAGTACTAATAAGCAGGCAATATCTCAATGCTAATAAGCAACTAATTAACAGTGAGAATTGGTTATTAACTTCTCATCATAAATTTTAATTGACTGGGATGACTCTGTTGGAGAGTGAATCATGCAGAACATGTAATAAACAATTTACAAGCATAGATAAATCCAACAGCAAAGATAATAGTGAAATAAACAAGACACTATTTATGGTTTCGTATAAGTAAATGTTAAAATAACACTGCAAAGTCAACTCAACATTGCATATCGTTGCAACGTGACTATTGCAGATGCACACATTGTAATATCAATGCTAAAATGATATACAGTGCAGCCCTAATAAATACAAATAATTAATGTATTCAAAATTTCTTAATTTGTAAATACCATTGCACATTTTTAAAATATATTAAAAATATTTATAATGTCAACAAAAGTTAGAGAGACTCACGAGCCAGCACGAGCAGGAAGTCTCTTGTGCTGAACACCACGGCTGCCTTCCACAAAAGCACTGGGAGGTTTGTGGTAGACTGAAGCCAGAGTCCCAATGTGGCAGATGAGCTCGTCCAGCAGGGTGGGTTCAATCAGGTCTGTTTCCTCTGAGATCAGTGGCTTTTCAGCCAAAACCACCTCTTTAGCAGCCACAGGGTCCGTGGAGAGCAGACGCCAGTAGATGTAGCCACGGTCACGCAAGTCAGGGTTATCAGAATCCTGCAAAGAGAGCAAATTACAAGAAAAGTGAAATTTACAAATAGTGGAGCGAGGGGGAATATATATGCTTTTGCCTTTTTTATACAAAAATGATGCAGTATATGTGACCGTTTCTTCAACAAAGTTACATCTGAAGGACAGAAACTTGTGTAAATAATGCAGAACTCCTTCCAAGCTTCAATTCTTCTGCGTGATAAGATCAAGTGGTGCGCCAGCAACACCCAGAGCAAAACAGCGGTGAGAGAATTAGATCTGGAGGCCATAAAACGGAACCTGGGATAAAGGAGGACATTTTGTATTCTGACAGAACCCTGGCGGCGAGAGCAGCCTGTGGCACCGAAGCTCAAAGTTAATAATGACAAGATTCAATCTCAGATCCCAGTCTGACAGTGCAAGCTCGCAGCTTCTCTGAATATTAATGAGATCACACACGCACCCTAGTGCTCACACACACAAACATTAAACTTGTTTATGCCATCAGTTTAAGAAGCGCATAAAGTCAATTTAAACTGACGCATAATTATGAATAATGCAATTTCCTACAAATCATCAGAAGTGACGGTGTTGACTCCTTTTATATACAAAATGATTATTAAAAAAAACAAACAAAAAAAACAGCAAGGAATTTTTCACAGTTTCCTGTAATATTTTTTCTTCTATTTTATTTTGGGTAGAATAAAAGCAGGTTTTAATAAAAATTAACAAATAAAAAAAAATAAAAAACATTTTAAGGTCAATATTATTTATTAAGCCCCTAAAGCAATAGTTTTTTTTTTCTGATTGTCTATAGAACAAACCCTTTAAGGGTGATTGGACTTTTACACTTGGACTTTTGTTTCGGAACCTTATTTATTCAATTCAATTCAATTCAGCTTTATTTGTATAGCGCTTTTACAATGTAGATTGTGTCAAAGCAGCCTCACATTAATGGTCATAGTAAATTGGAACAGTGTAGTTCAGTTTTTAGTATTTAAGTTCAGTTCAGCTCAGTTCAGTTCAGTGTGGTTAATAATCACTACTTGGGGCCTAAACACTTGAGAGCAAAAAAACAGACTATTTATGAGAAAGTCTTACCTACGATTTTATTGCTCATCGACATAAATTATAATCAGGACGCATGACAGCTGAGCGGGACTCTGAAAATAAATCGTGGAACTCTGTCTAATGTGAGGACATTTACTCGCACAAGACTTGTTTTCGCTATTCTGGTCGGTTTAGAAATGTTGCCGTGTGAAAGCAAACCACACCAAGAACAACATGCAACACTAACAATTTTAATTCTTGTTACGGAAGAAAAGAATAGATCCACAGGTGTGAAAGCACCCTAAATGTCACTTAAAGCTGAATACTAGTATGTTGAAAAATATCTAGTAAAATATTATGTACTGTCATCATGGCAAAGATGAATGAAATGAGTTATTAAATCTATTATGTTTAGAAATGTGTTGAAAAAAATCTTCTTTCTCTTAAACAGAAATTGGGGAAAAATATACAGGAAGGCGAATAATTTAAGAGGGCTAATAATTTTGACTCCAACTGGGTATAGGGTATAGTATAGTATCTTCTGCGATTGATTCATGTTTAATTCAATATAATTATCAGTAAATATTTGTGTGCACACTACTAATTTGAATGGTTTAAAGTTGTTTAATGTGGTAGCATCATTAACATGAAAAGATTTTTTCTGATAACGTCACAAAAAAATCCTCAGTAGAGTAAGGAAGAAAAAGGAAGAAAAGGGCTTACTGAAATTACTAAAGCCTTTTTTAATAAACATAAACCTGTCATAAAACCTGCTGTTTTAATGTGGTGCAAAGTACAAAATTCTAGCCCACAAGCACCAACCTTCATTGTGAGAGAAATAAGAGCGCTTTAGTTTTTAATACGAACAAATATCATATCTTAAAATTGATAAAGTCATATTTTACAGAATTAGAGGAGTAATACAATAATACATCTGATAATCACCATCAGTTCCTGTTAACTTTTTTTTTTATCTGCTTGAGTTTAGCAATAACCAAGCAAGAATAAACATGTCAGGGTGTTCAGCAACAATTCCTTTAAATATCTCAGTTTTATTTTTGGAGTGATTCTGCAAGTCCAGTGTGGTCTTGCTACTGAGCTCTGACATCTGAGGATGGCAACACCTTCAGAGTGTCCATGAAGGTGTGAGCAAATATAGGCGCTGTGTTTTGAGAAGTGTCCATGTGGATTTCTCACCTGTGTGGCGAGACTGAGCACTTGTTGCACAAGCTCCTGGGTCTCAGTGGGTTTCTTCAGGAACAACTTCACAATAGCTGTCAGCAACTGAAGCTGCACCTGAAACAGAACCGAGAAAGAACATTAACACAGACAAAACATGTAGCACAACCTCCCGAGACTAGTTCATGCAAGTTCACTAAAGCATTTAATACAGTACTATTGTATGATTGTCATGATACCAAAATTTCAGTAGTCATTATAACTATCTGATTTTACTCCCCTTAACACGAGAACATGCCAGAGGTTATTGTGTATCTACATTCCACCAATGATTAAAAATAATGCGCACATGACAGTTGAAAGTATCGCTCACCAGACGCGCACATTTACATGCTATTTAAAATTAAAGTATTTAGATGGCACTCTGTGGCACGGCAGAAATATGAACAGTGTCCTGAGTCGTGGTTGGGCACCGTGGACAGTCGCCAACTTTTGACACCGGTGTGTGTACCCTGATAGAAATCTAAATTTAGAATCCTGAAATGCATGGCGCAACGCATTGCGTCGCTGAGCGGCGCTTCTGGTGTGCGACCTTCTTTATAGTCTTCAACTATGATGCTGTGCAGCCCTAGAATGTATCCCTTACCACTGGATGGCAATAATTATTCATTTTAAACGTTATTAAAAAATACCATTTAGGATAACTAGATAACTAGAATGTTTAGTCCATTTGTCTCCCAGTTAAACTGCTTACTTTCATGCTTTTTTAGGAGAAACTGATGAATTAACATGTTGTAAATCCAGCAGCTCTGTATACTCCTACAGTGTACTAATGCTCAGTTAATATTCAGATCAAATAATATGATCATTAAGCTGATTAAATGACTAAATACATGTTCTTACACATATTTGAGAATCTGAAAATTTCACATTATTTTGAGAATGTTTGTCAATATTTGGAGAAAAATGAAAAAGGAAATAAAATGCTATATGCATAAATCGTTGGGCTGTTGTGTATCATGCGATAATCTTGATAAATCACTAAAAAAACTTTATATAAATGCATTCTAAATAATGAGTAAAAAAAACTCATGCATGGAAGTCAGCGAGAGTATTTAAACCTTATGTGTAAAAGAGTTGTAAATAACTCAGTTTTAGCTAAAGTCGTTGACTGGGATACATGGATATTTTATTGAAAATCTGTTGGGTGTAGGCACATTTTACTATGTGCTAGTTCTAGTAATAAAACTATTTCACAAACAAGATTTATCCTGAAGCAGTTTAAAATGCTCCTGACCTGTGTGCTTTCATCATGGAAGCCTTCCAGGAAGCTCTCCAGCAGCTCATCGGCATTGTCAATCCTCTCTGCATATTCACCCACAATCCAGATCATGGCTGCCCTTGCCTCGGGCTCATCCAGAGAATCCAGGTTCTCACACAGAGTGGCAATCACGCTCTCATACCTGACAACACATTCAGCCAGAAAGCATCGATGAAGCAGCAAAAAGACAAAGTTGAAGATGACTGGTTTTTAAGGAAATACAGTACGGTACAGTAAGGTTTGAAGTGGATCATCACCTTTCATTCTTGTCTTAGGAAAATTTAGAAAAACCTTTTTGATCCACTTCAAATATTGACTACTGTATTTTGTATATGAAAGGAAGGTTCAAGCTGAGGCTATACAAGGACTGTGAGCCTCAGAGAAACAGATAAGGATACTGTTTAGAAGGAGAAAAAGAAGGGTCAGGGACAGAGGAAACTGTAAAACAAGCTCAAAAAAATAAAAACCTACTTGTTGGGGTACTTGCGGAAGATGTCCTTGATCACCACAATGGCTTCCTGCACCACATAATTGACCTTGGTCTGAATGAGGTCAAGCAGTGTGCTGACACAACGCTCTGCTGATTGCTAAAACAAAAACAGGACAGACAGAAAGAGTCATGATCTATTAGGACGCCAGTGGGATCATCCAGAAATCAGGCCGTTGGCTTTGACTCATATCAAGTTGAATTGTTTCATTAGCAGAGATGAACTTTACAATTAAAACTGAACACTGATCAGACAGCTGGTGGAAATGATAATGTGATCCTAATCAGGGTCAGGCCAGCTCACCTCCACTTTAATTGCACAGCGGCCAATGGCTCGTACAGCTTTACGCACAAAGTCTACATCCACTTCAGTGGCATATTCCTTTAGCTCAGCCAGCACCTACACAACACAAACACACACAGATTTATCACAGACTTGCATACGAGAATGAAGACTGAAGTTAAAAGATTTAGCATTTAAAAAAAAAAAAAAGAATGAACATTATTAGGGTCTGCAGCTTTTACGAAGCTACATTTAATACTTTAATGTGTTTAAGACCAAGTAAAGAATACTTAATTAATTTTTTGAAGGGAACACAAAACATCAGTGTGTTTCTTTAGGGAGCACATGATAAAGTATTAGCAACACAAAAAAACACTTTGTACCAATTTTCATTACTTTTTAATTCATATGACAAAATTACAGTTAAGGTCTGAACAGTCTGCTCCCAAATAAAAGACTATGAAAATGGTTTTCATTGTACCTTCTGATCACACAGCAAAATGAGTCATGTTTCTCAGAATTGTTGACTTTTCTTGTGCAAAATATTCTTAAAACACACATTTACTTGGACTTGGAAAGCTACAACACAAGATGAAAAAACCTTCTGTTCTGTGAAACTTTAAAGCAGGGGTCACCAAACTTGTTCCTGGAGGGCCGGTGTCCTGCAGATTTTAGCTTCAACCCTAATCAAACACACCTGAACAAGCTAATCAAGGTCTTACTAGGTATACTTGAAACATCCTGGCAGGTGTGTTGAGGCAAGTTGGAGCTAAACCCTGCAGGGACACAGGCCCTCCAGGACCGAGATTGGTGACCCCTGCTTTAAATGAAGAGAGTTTATGATTAAAAACTAGAACAAATGTCTGCCAATGGGCTTGAAAAAAAGCAGAATATGTATACTTCATACTGCATTGACAGATTTGTTCTTGTTTTAAGCATAGACTTACTTTTGGGCTGTTTCTCAGAAAACAAGACTTAAACCTCCCTAATTTTGCATCTCAAGTAAATGTATCCTGATTTAAAAGAATATTTAGATGAGAGATGCCCAAACTAGGGCCCGCGGGCCAAAGCTGGCCCATGGTAACCTTTGATTTGGCCCACCATCTCAATTTAAGGCAGTATTTTGTTAGTTTGGTTGTTTTATTGCTAAGCTCTGACAAAAAAAAAAAAAAAAAAACTAATTGAAATTAAAAGTTGAATTAAATGTTTTAAAATGATTTTTTTTTTTCTCAAAAGTACACACTGTCAGACAATGCAGAGACATCAGTGAGCAAATGAAGGCAAAGGCAGATTCTGCTTGACTAGTGTATTTAGCATTGATACCAATGTTGTAAATGTAATGGTTTATGTTTTTATTGTAATAAGTTATCATTTTATTAATTATACTGCTAATTAGCTAATACAACTTAAAGTAATGTTTTCTATTTATTTTTAAATATTATGAAAATTTGATAATTACGTATGGCAACTTTAATGTAATAGAGTAATAGAGTTTGGTATATTTACCATCGGCCCACAGCTCTCAGTGATATTTGGTTTTTGGCCTTTCATACAAAAACATTTGGGCACCCCTGATTTAGATGTTTGTATTAAAACCAATAATACTGAACAAGGTTTTTTTTTGCAGTGGTTGCAACATTTCATTCCAAAACTTTAACTTAAGAGCATCCATATGTGTAATGTGTTTACCTGAGCAATGTTGGCCTGAGAGGCCAGGCGGATCATTATATCCAGCTTCTCCAGCTTGACATAGATTGGGTCATTATATTTCACAAAGAAAACCTTCATCTCATGCTTTAGGATTTCAGGCCTGGTGGAAACAGTAAAAATGAAAAGAGAAATGATCTTCAAAAAAATAAATTTAAACCCACAAATCATCTTTTCATCTTCAAATAATCATATTTCCTCCAGATCTGCACCTACCGTTTCTGTACGATGAGGTTTATGTTCCTCAGGGCAACATACTGCAGTTCAGGTTCAGCGGAGAGCAGCGTTACCAATGGAGGAGCAAGTTTCTTCAACAGAGTGCCATAATAATCTAGATCTTTCGGCAGCATCTCCATAAACTTCATCAGAACCTTCACAGCAGACAGCACCACGGCCGAGTTAGCATGAGAAAGCCGTGGAGTCACACGCTCGCAGATACTGTAGAAAAAAGAACGAAATAAAATGTTCAACAAGGTAGAAGAATACGATTTTTGGGGGGCAAAGACATGCTGTGTAGTTTTATTGCTTAACACTAGAATCATCAGGGGTTGCTGTACACATAAAATTGCCAGTGTGTAAATTTTTACCCACACGTGCACATTTCTGTTTAGAAATGGCAAAAAAAGTAAATAAAAAAACATTTCACTGTATTATGCAACTGTTAAAAAAAAGAAGCGTCTAGAGTCATAAAATAATGTCTAGTCATCAACATTGTTTATGCTGTTGTTTTAGTTTGAGTGTTTTTATGCAGGCTACACAAATCACTTTCAAAATGGTTGTCTATAAGCTAAACAAATCACATTGACATTTAGAAGTAAATACATATTTGAGTGGTGTAATATAATGCAATGCTGTTAATCATATATTAAGATGTAAATTTAAATTAAAATTACAACAATGAACAATGAACAACAATAACAAAGCGATGACTAATTGAAGCGCACAGCTTTAACTAATTAACAATTAATTGGTTATAATTCATAGTTTAAATAGGAGAACAACGCCAATAAAGTTTATACATGAGTTTGCTTAAACATCTCAATTTGACTGTGCGTTGCATCTCTGAGGCTCTGGATGGCTGTAAGATAAGTTGTCAGATACTGAGGCGTCCCAGGTCGCATCACTTTTCCTGCCATTAGACTTAGTTTTTCATAGCATTTTGCAATTCTACTACCACTACAAAACGCCTCTTTTACTCAGTGACTTTATTTATTTGTTTATTTTAACCACAAATTCACTGAGTTAAAGACATTGCATGGCAACATTCAAAGTTAAAATATAAATCAAGGCATTATATACAGGGTTCATACACATTTTAACACTAAATTCCATTACTTTTCCATGATTTTTCCAAGACTTAAAGTAAATTAAATTTCATGACCTAAAGATTTATGCAATGTCAACATATGTGTGGTAAAAAACATGTTAAAATTTATTACAGCATAACGTAAAACACGCAACAATCTATTTAGTTTCAGCTTATATTTATATCTATGTAAAATTGATTTAGATAATGCTTACACCATACTATTAATGTGAGAGTGTGATTGGCCAAGGAAAGAAAAGAAATAAATAACCTATATTTAAGCACACAGATATCTATTTTCCATGACTTTTCCAAAACTTTGTGTTTTTTTTCTGATTTTCCAAAACTTTTCCAGGCCTGGAAAATACCATGTCAAAATTCTATGACTTTTGCAGGTTTTCCATGACCGTATGAACCCTGTATATAGCAGGTAAAGATGCCCCATTTTTAGACTTAGTTTTATTGAAATGTTTAACACGGGGATCTCAAACTCAAATCGTTGGGGGGGGGCCCATTGCAGTGACTGACAATTTATAGAAGAATTAATTTTCACATTCAAGCACAAGAAAAAAAGTGGAAACCTGACGTAATTGATGCACCTTAGGACAACATACATGACGTTTATATTTCAAGCATTACCTGTGACCAGTGATAATGCAAATTAGCACATTCATCCATCACACAACTACTCAAATATATCTGTGGCCGTTGTGTAAATGGCCGAGCACTAGACACACACTCAGTTATTCTTCCACAGAGTATATGCAGTCAAAACTCCAGCTGTTTTTTCTTGTTGTACATATTGAAGGGGTAGTTAAATTGCTAAGAAAACAATACAATTAATAGGCATAATAATAATAATAATAATAAATTATTATTATTATTCTGTCCCAACCAATTGTTGCTTAACCAAAAGTTTAACAGATATCCTAAAAACAGCAGAAAGCTGGGTAACTTTAGTGACTTAACTTGCAATTGTTCTTCTCAATATGTGTTTTTTTTGTAAAACTACAACACAGTAAAAGTATGTACATATTCACATTAACTTTTAAAATGTTCAATTAAACCAGCAATTAAATTTTAATAATGTACATAGTTTTTAAACAAATCTTAATGAGAAAAATCTATTAAATGGGATAATTTCCCTGGGTTTCCCTGTGGTTGTTCTTCAAAAATTCCAGAAAATATAATTATAAAAAATAAAAAATAGAGCACTTACAGAAATAAATGTTAACTTTTAAATCAGCCACAGAAATAATCTGCATTTGCGTTATTCTTGACTACACAGACTGAAAGTCAAAACCACAAGTGGCTACAGTACAGGTGACTGCACAACAATGATAGTGATTCAAAAATATATATGTTTGGAGAGCCGATTATAATATATATCCATTATATTTTGACGTCAGTTGTGGGCCAGAGGGAGAAAGAGGGGGTCATAAATGGCCTGTAAGCCGGCAGTCCGAGACCCCTGGTTTAAAAATTTTATCTCAATGTTTTAAATCTAAGAAATGTTAATTAATTCATATATTTATTTGATATTTTTCAAACAGGAAAAGATGAAAATATAATCGGGCCTGACACAGCATGAATGCTGTTTTTCAGCAGGTTGCGGGTCTGCAGAACATAAAAACGACAGACACCCTTACCATCTCATCCATCAACATATAAAAACAGTACAAACAATCACCAAACATACAAAATGAAGAGACAGGCTACTATCTACAGCGATAATTGAACATCAGATGATGAGCATGTGATTTAAAAAAAAGGCTCAGTGTTGGTATTGTTTTCAGTCCCATTTCAGGCTTTTGTGAATGCATAAAAGAAGGATCTTGGTCCATAAATTAGTCAATTTTAGCAGAAGTGAATGACTGGGAGGCTTAAATGTTTTAATAAAGCCTATGAACATTTGGAAAACAGCAATGAGTAAAATTTACCCAGAGCAGTTTTACTGTTAAATTAGGGCTAGTTTAAAAAAAAAAAAAAAAAAAAAAAAAAAAAAAAGAAGCTGATTCTGAACAATCCAAATTTGATTCTTAATGATTCATTTAGATTAAATCAATAGCAATTTCAGGCACTACATTGCTTTATTAGTTAAGCTAATCAATGTATTACGCAGACTTCATTAAAGAGAGTGTTTGAGTCCACCACCCTGAAGTGATGAAATAACAGTGTCATCTGACCTCTGAGACTCGCGGTCATCACGGGGCGTGTAGTTGGCCAGGCAGTCAAGGATGAAGATCTGGCCCCATTCAGTGCATTCATTAAGGGCTGTCAGGAGCTTATTAATGGTCTGAGGGTTCAGGTCCAGAAGGTTGCTGTTAGGATGAGACTCTGCTATCTCAGACAGAGCTGCTACTGCATTTGCTACCACCTAATGGAGGAGAAAATAACAAACACATTAAACACAAATTTGTAGTGTGTCTGCATGGTCTTGAGTTTCACACAACACCAGCATGTAATTCCACACCATGGAGACTGAAAGCACCATGGATGCCTTTAAAAAAACATAAGTGCATGTGCAAAAAATGTCTAGTTTAAAGGTCTCACCATAGGGTTGGAATCAGAGATAAGGTCTTTCAGTGTGTCCAGGAAGCCCTGGTCTTCTACCAGCTGGGCGTTAATGTCATGGAGCTTGGCGACACAAACTGCAGCAGTCTTCCTCACGTAAGGGTCTTCATCTTTTAGACACTTCCTCAGAGGTTCACACAGATACTCCGTGATCTTGTCCACTCGGATGCAGCCCATCGTGCGCACAGCTAGAGCTCGGATCAGAGGATTCGGGTCCTCACAATCCTATAGAGAAGACACATTAGACCCAAAACTTGGGCATTACTGGGTATACTGTACAGTTCGCTTGTTTGGAGTCGGCAAGTTCCAATTAGAGTGGGAGAAATAAGTATTCAACACGCCACAATTTCTCTCAGAAAACTTATTTCTAGATGCTGTAGACTTGAAATTTTTACGAGATGTTGGTAACAACCAAAGAAATCCAACTATGAAAAAAAATATTTATATATATTAATTTGTTTACAAATGAAGTTATGTGTAATAAAATAAATGACACAGGAAAAAAAGTATTAAACACATGAAGAAATGAAGGTCTAGAAAGGCAGTTAACGCCCAGACAGCAACTGAAATCTCTTAGTAGTTATTCAGCCACCCTCAGCCCTTCCTCATTGTAAATTAATATTAGCTGCTTTAGTTAATCTACATCAGGGGTGTCAAATTCCTGCTGGGCCGAAGCCCTGCACAGTTTAGTTCCAACCCTGCTCCAACACACTTACCTGTGGGTTTCAAACAAGCCTGAAGGACTCAATTAGTTTGATCAGGTGTGTTTAATTAGGGTTGGAACTAAACTGTGCAGAGCTGCGGCCCTTTTGGAACTGAATTTGACACCTGTGATCTACATTATCAGGATGATGAAGATGAAGCCAGAGTGGATATTTCAGTAAGACAATGAACCAAAACACAGTCAAGGAAACTCTCTAATAATTTCAAAGTAAGAAAATCAAGCTGTAGTATGGCCCAGCCAATAACCTGACTTGAATCCAATAGAAAATACAAAATAAAGATCAGATTTGACAGACGAGACCCACAGAACTATTCACATTTTTAAACTCTGTCGAAGTCTTTGACAAACTCACATCCGAGCAATTAATGTGATTTCATTCCCCATATGAGAGCCGTCTTTAAGCCGCCATAAAAATAAAACCCTTCATATATAGTATTAAATACATTTCAGTAGTTCAGTACTTCCTCCTTGTATCATTACATTGTTATAACACATAACTTTTTATTTATTTATTTTGTTTTAATTGTATGTTTGGATTGTTTTTTTTTATCAATTCCATGACAACAGATCGTTTAGAATATTTTTCCCAGAATAAAAACTAAAAAAAAACAAAACATGAGTGTTGAATATTTTTCAACAGTGCATTTATTTTATTTTAAATACATTTGCAGAAATGGAATTTCTACCATTAATGTGGTAAAACAAAATTTAAAACTGAAAATGGGTGAGAGATAGAGGGAAATAGGATTTTAAAAAGTCCCTGAGCTATTAGATCCAACAAGTGTTTATTATTATTTTTGGTTCACTAATATAATAATAATAATAATAATAATAATAATAATAATAATAATAATAATAATAATAATAATATAATAATAATAAAAACTTAGAAAACGCATAAAAACATGTCTTTTTCAAGTCATGTTGGAGCTCTGTGTTTCTTGTCTGGCGCGAAACATTTTTACTGTCTTTTAGAAACTTCTTTACTGTGAAGTTTATTAATTTCCTCCAAAAATCCTATTAACTCTAGGTTTTTTGGTCAAGTTTGTTGAATTCCCCTGTATATTGCCGTTAATTGTCACACTTTATCTTGATAGTCCATTTGTTGAATTTAAGTTACATTGCAACTAATTCTCATTAGATTTTAAGTAGACTGTTAGGTCGGGGTTGGGTTTAGTGTAAGTTGGCGTGTACTTGCAAAGTTTCTTATAGTCAGTTAAATGTCTGTTGAAGGAGCAGTATCAGCAGATATTAAGCAGACAATCTACTAATACTCAAATGGACCATCAAAATAAAGCGTTACCCTGTTAACTACTATATAGAAAATTTTGATTTTTTAACAGCTACTGTATGCTATATAGAGACTTGCTATTTTTTCTCCCATTATCTTTTTAGGAAATACCATTATCTCAGAATAAGATAACCATGAAATAGATGCATTTCCCCACAACAATAAAAAAACAGAGCCCCACTGCTTGAAATAACTTTCCTTTTGATTTAAAAAAAACAAGCAATACTACCACCTCTATTGACCTTATTCTAAAATGCAGAAGTGCGTTTTCGCGATTGTTTTAGAACTTCCGATTCAGTCGCCTATGAGAGAAATGACTGGAATAAACGGCAGAAAACGGTCAAACTACTTGCTCTACAAACAAATGTTTGCATTATGTAAATGTTCATATGATTTGTTTATTATACAGTCTTTTAGTAGATATATTATGAGACTTGCTTTGATTACCAAATAAGTGGATCTAATTGGATTTGCATTGTAAATATTAAAGAAAGTTAAAAAGGTTTTTTTTTTTTTTATATCATGCATTACGATTTTAGTTACAATACTCCTAAAATCATAACACATAAATCCACAGTTTCTTACAAAATCCTTCACAGAAATAGCGAAAAAATGTCCGCAGATAATGTCTGGCCCTAATTACATGCAACTCAACATTGTGACAAATAGAAAATATTTATATATAATAAACCACAGATCCAGGAGGCCCTGGAAATGTTTCCGTTTTCTTATTTGATGTGATAAGCTATATGACCCACTAGTTGGTTGCTTTATAATGATGTCTATCTATCTGTTCTCAGGTGTGTGGGAGGCCAGCAAAAACTAATTAGTGCTGATGGAGCACGCTGACCTGCAGACGATATTATCCTATAAAGACTGACTATTTCAGTCTTCAAAGAGATGCGTTTCTCTGCTGTTACCAGGCTCGTGATGAGGCTTTTAGGCACTTCACTTTTCAGAGCAGCGGTTTTAGCTGTCTAAGTGTTTCATCATGCATGCATTTCAGCTTTTTCCATTGGAAAGTAAATGAAAAACCTTGTAATCATGTCTCAGGACAAACAATATGATAATATATTTACAATAAAACTATTGGCCATTTTATTGATGTACGAGTCCTACCTTCACAAAAGTGTTGACTGCCATAATGGCCATGTCTGGCTGGCTCTTGGCATAATTCATCAAGTACAGATAGACCAGCTTTTTCAGTTCCAGGTTATCTGTCTGCATGCAGTTGACAACATCAGGAAACAGAGCACTGGGAACAAAAAAAAAAAAAAATATTCAAACTACAACCATACTGTACCAATGGAAAAGAAGGATGGTTGACATTAGGAGTATGCAATATTCATCATCCACAAACCTGATAATACTGTAATCCTTTTTTTTATGCAGATGACATCAAATATCATATAACTAAAAATACTGTAGGCATGGGATGATAACTGTTTTCAAGGTTTATCGCGGTTTGGAAAAGTTAGGGTTTTAATCCCACTAACATTTTCTGCTACACCATTCCAAAGGTGTATATATAAGTTTTTTTTATGTGTTTATGCGTTTTAAATCTGTGCTTTTGAAACTAATGAAGATAGCAGGAGTAAATGGTTTATTTTAATTATTTAGCCAGACATTTTTACTGTTCCAAAACATTACTATGAAATATATTGTGTTAAATAGGGGGGAAAAGTTGTTGGTTTTTACCCAGACATATAAAAATAACTTCTTTTAGAGCAGCAATCACAATATCGTCAAACCGTGAAATTAAATTTAAATTTACTAAATCCACCTAATGGGACAAGACTAATTACACAACTAAGTGTAATTAGTTGAAAAATCCCTTAAGATGCAATAAGAAATTATTTTAACAAACATAAATGACATTTCACAAATACACTAAAATGTAAAATACATAAATCTGTCAAGTAAGTGGTGGTTCATTCCATTGTGGTAACCCCTGATAAATCAGGGACTAAGCAAAAGGAAAAAGAATGTATCTGACAAGTAAGTGCATTAAGTCAATAACATTAAAACTGGCATTAATAAAATCTCATCAATCTATTGTCATTTCTGATATTTGGGATTTAGATTTAATGCAAGTAGAACAAAGTAAACATTGTAAACTAAGCTTGATTCAAATAATGTATTGTAAAATGTACAGTGTAAAATGTAGTGTTAAAGTAAAAGATTTTTGAAGTGTGTAAACATTGAAATAAAGTGAATAAAAACCTATTCCCCTTGCCCACAGCTATCATAACATGCTATGTGCAAAATGCAGATACTATAAAAATATTATCAATTCAAATATGTTGGTGTACTGCAAGTAGAAAAGAGCAAAACATTAAGAAACATCAATATCTGTGCAATATCCATTTATACAATAAGCTTATCAGACATATAGTATAGAGTAATATTAATGATGTATAGTTTATATATTATATTTATGTTTTAAAAATAGTTATATATAGTTTAATAAAACACAAATAGGCTACTGTGCAACAAAAAGGATCTAAAAGTGTCAGAGAGACCGAGAGAAGCTGTCATTTATTCATCCTAACCATACTTAAGGTCTTGATCGTAACATCTATTTTTCATCTCTTCTGTTTATAGCATGTCATAGCATTCACGTGGAGAAAAAACAAACAAACAAACGGTATCTTGTCTAACTACGCCTTTCATGAAATGGAGTCACCGTTTACTGTATAGTAAATTCTGATTGCTTTCTGATTGGCTCCCGGGATATAGCGGCTTTTGCTTTCAAATGCAAATGGCGTTTAGAGGCTTTTGCAAACAAACTGTTATTTCTGAATGCGCTGATGCTGCAATTTAAATGATTTGAAGCAGAAATATTTGTTGAACGTACTACGTGCCTAAAATATTCTCTCAATATCATTATCTCATTTTTGGCAGAAGTGGCGTTTAGCGAACTCTTAGATTAGATTTTTTAATTATTATTATTTAAAGATTTGATAGACTACAAGTAATATCGCACACTAAACAGTACTATTTCCCCTTCCTGAAAATGTTATAGAATACTTTTTTTTTTTTAATATGCAGTGATATGCATTAATGCTACAGTGAATCATTCATTAAGACAACCAGCAAAGTATTGGCACTAAAAAAATTCCCAAAGCAAATATTCTGTAAAAGAAAAACAGCATTTCATACCTGACATCTTTTCCAACGGTCATAGATGCAATGACCTTCTTCACAGCCTCCTTCTTCTTCTCTTTCTTATCACTGTTGAGCTCTGCCTTCAGCTCAAAGATCTCTCCTGAAGAGTCAAAAACACATACAAACAATTATGAGTGAGAATGAAGAGCATTCAATAAACAGTGCAAGTACAGAAAAACTTTTTTAGTAAAGTTTTTTTTTTTTTCTCAAATTGTATAACATTTACATTAGATACATTTCAGAGATCATCATACATCAGAACACACCCTTAGGCACACATACATACACATACTCTTTCTGCCACATATGATATCCTATATGTGCAAATGTAAACATATGTTGTATACATAAGAAAAAATAAGACAAATAGGGGAAAAAAAAGTAGTTGTACTAATTAAATCCTTGTTCTGTGTACACTTTCTTGGCTTGTGTGGTTTAAATTGCAGTAAACACAATGTGCACAGGCCTAATCATGTGTTTGGAAGTAATCTAAATAAAGCAAGAGACTCCAAATCTTATTCAGACGTAAGCCTCATTAAACTCTACAACTAATGTCAGTGTACTGTGAACGAAACGGAGCATGAATATCTAAAATGGTGCTTAATGTAGTTCAGTATATCTGCATTTAAATGTGTAATGTGGGGTTAATGACCAAACAGACACAGTAAATGATTAAACTTCTGACATAATACGATACGCTAATTCTAAAACCGCTGTATTTGAATGCAAAAACTGAAAAATAACAAACCTTTCTTGGTAGTGGTGAAATATTTGGAGTCTGTCATCTTGGATCCCAAGCCTCGGTTCTCCTACAGAGCAGCAAACAAAAAGCAGACAATAAGAAAATTGAGGAAGAGACTAAAGGGAGGTGGGATACTGAAAAAAGTGCAAGCGAAGGGGAATAAGAGGAAGTGCAGTCCCCCGTCCTGCTGATCCTTTCCCTGACGGTTCTTAGAGATTGTGGAGCGAGAAAAACATTGTGCAGAAACACACTGCTAAAGCTTCTTGTTCTCTTTTGGTCAGCAAATTACACTCTCTATGTGCAATGATTGCTCTCTGTCTCTAAATGTGCTGTGAAGAGTTTCCCATTTCCTGTTATTGAACATTAGACTCTCGCCGTCACCTGAAAGGTCTTTTAAGAGGAAAAGAAACAACAGTATTTCATTGAATTTAGCTGACTTGATGACAAGTTTTTTTTTTAATATATAAAAGTTTAAGTGGAGTATGATTTTGGAATGCTTTTGAAAACTTACAGTACAAAGTACAGTATAAAAACTAAAAGCAATTTTGTGAAATATTATTTTAAAACATTAAAATAAAAACAGCTATTTTATTTTTAATTATTCATTTATTTACTTTTGATCATTTTACGTCCATGCTAAATATAGAGGTAATGTCCTAAACAAACAAGTATGAATATGACCAGAGGTCAGTTCTCCGTATGTGGATTACTCAGTTAGCTGGATTTGGTTACTGATCATTTGACACGATCCAGGATCGTTTCGTACTTCAAAACTCATCCAAGAGATGTTTTCAAAGCAAAAGTACCTTAAACCTGCTCCGGAGCAGGCTTATTTCATATAAACAGGATTAGATCAGCTCTTTTCAAGCAAAGGTAATACTGAAAGCATGTACCAAATGCTGAAATTTTCTGACATTAGTAGTTATATACACTTGGAAAAAAAAAAATGAATAAAAATCATATTAATAATAATAATTATTATTATTATTATTATTATATACATACAAGTTTTAAAATACAAAATCTATGCAATCTGTACAAATAAAAGTAGGACCTAGAAAGACCGTCAAGAGGTGGTTCTCCCCAAGGGGTTCAAAGAGGACATTTATTAATATGGGCTTTTCAGCTACAAACATATACTACTTTAAGGTACTATTTAGTACAATTAGTGTATGATTAAAAGACATGCACAATATTTGACTTTTTTTTAAAGGAATAACAATTTTATAATAAAGAAATATTTGCTCTAAAGTAACCGTTAATACTAATTTTATGTAATTTTGCTCACATGGATAATTGAATATTCATCAGATGATGTTATTATGCTGCTGTGCTGATCATGATTTTGAGAATCGATAAATCTGTCCTGCACAACACGCGTATCGATCTCAGATCAGTTCAAAAGGAGGCGTGGTATCCAACCTCAACCTAAATCCCAATTGTCATTAGGGGATGAGCAAATCGCACCTGTATGAATGAGATTGTATGAATTCATAGAATTTAGCCACGAAATCAAAAAGTTACGAATTGCCATGAGATGGTGTTGTTTTGTCTTGTTATTGAATTAGTGCAATTCAGCAGTGACATGGGTTACTAAATAATTCCACATTCATTGCATTTTTGTGAAGTGCAAGACAATCAGTATATCAGCAACACGGTAACACTTTATATTGTGCGCTTCTGGTTTCATTAGCTAATGTATTTACTAACATAAACAACATATAAGGGAGTTCATAAGCACAGCATTTAGAATTTTTCAGAAGTCACTACTTTGTGATATACACAAAGTAAAAACATGACTGTTGAAAATGATTAAAAAGCTCCAGTTTTACTATTTTTCACAAATCATTTTTGGTGCAATTTTACCCTTTAATGAACAACAAAACATCATGTTAAGTTATCCGCTTTTGCAAATAAACTAAAATAAATGTTATAATGAATACATACTGTAAACAAATTGCTAATCCTAGTAGGGCTGCACAATATTGGAAAAAATGGACATTTTGCAAAAATACATAATTTCATCAGATGACTTGAAAACTGCTATTTGGGAAGAATTGATTAAATTAGATTCACTCATTTTCTTTTCAGCTTAGTCCCTTCATTAATCAGGGGTCACCACAGCAAAATGAACCGCCAACTTATCCAGCATATGTTTTACGCAGTGGATGCCCTTTCAGCTACAACCCATCACTGGGAAACATCCATACGCTCTTATTCACACACATACATTAGATTGATTGGGATAATTCTGCAGGAAAGTTAATTATGCATAAAATATAATAAAAGCATTATAGGATGAATACAAAAGAGTAAAGACAAAAGCGTGATTAAATAGCGTTTTTTGTGGTTTTCAGGGCAGTCAAACAGTATTCAGGTACAGATTTTGAATAATCAAATGTAAAAAAAAATACTGCAAAAGAAATGAATGTATAAATAATTCAATAAAATTATTCTTTATTAAAGTTACAAAGGGTAGAAATTCTTGTGTCTGAATACTTTGAGCTCTGTCAGGCCTTATAAACATATGCAAATGATTAACTTTCACTCAGTTATGATTAAACTTTTCAATTACTACACAATTCTGAAGCGTTCTGAACTGTTTCTCCTGGTCAGCTATAATCATTATAACTCAACACTGCATATCCAGCGTTGTGACTAATGCGGATGTGCACATTGCGATATCGATGCTGAAACAATATATTGTGCAGTCCTAATCCTTACTTCACGTTAGTAAACAAGCACATTAGCTAACCCAAACTAAATGAACTTTATTTTAAAGTATTACCAGCAACCTAAAAAAATACAGAGTATCTTTAACCTTGTATCTCACTAAACCATCCATGAACCTGTTAACCTACAGCCAGCCTTTTCTTTCTTTTGTTTAACTATATAACAATACAGAATGTTTATTCTGACAGTTATAATAAAGAAGCTTATGATCTGAGCGCCTCAATAACCCTGCTCACCGTTTGCATGTAAACAGGGTCATCACACCTCATCTGTGAAATATAGCACTTACTAACATTCACACCAGTCTAACTGCCACCTGAAGAATGACAAGCAGCACTCACAGATAGCTGGGTGCGCACTGTGCAAATCGTCTGATCCTTGAACCAAATCTGTTTGTCATGCTTGCCAACAGACGTTTAATTAAACTGAACAATTCACTTAATTCTGAGGCATCTCCAGTGTGCCATCTCCTGATGTCTATAAAATAGATCAGTGGGCCTCTCCAATGACCACCATCCCCAAGCGAACCAAAACCAGCACAGATAAAACCTCATTACGCAATTATTAGTAGTAAAATACATCGTTTCAGCATCAAAATCACTGTGTGAACATCTGCAAGTCACATTGTAGGACCATCAATGTGAAGTAGGAATTATTTTTGACCGGAAGTCACAGTTTTGGATGCATGTAGTTTGTAGATTAATTGCAAAATTAAACCATTGTACAGTTATTATTTAGAATTTGCATTTGTTTGTTTTTTTCCTGTTAAACATATTGAATGAGTTTAAAAGCATTTAGGCACAAAAAATAAGGTTTGTAGCTTTAACAATGAATAATTACATCCTATTTATATACTGCATGCTGCAAGTGCAAAGTGTTTTGTATTTGAATTTGTATAACTTGTATCCTGGCTGCCATTAAGACTTCCAATAAATGTCCAGAAAAGTCCAAGATTTAACAAAGACCAAATCATGTGACCAAAACATTGGATCTTTACAATAACAGTGGTAACTACAGTTTCATTTTTTTAAAGAGCTATCGGCAATGACATATAAAAGCTTAATATGAAAAACTAACATTAAAGGAAGAGTTCATCCAAAGCTGAAATGTACTTTCTTCTTTCTCTAAAACGCAAAACAAATATAAAAATCTTGAACTTCTTAAAGCATCACATGGTTACAGTTGAACCATTTAAGTAACAAAACTTTTTCCCAATGTTTTGAGTTGAGCAATTCAAGCGTTATGGATTTGACATTTGCAGTAAAAACTCAAAACATAAAATTACAAAGAATGTATACGTTAACATTATATTGAAGCAATTGTTTATATATTCCAAAACAACTAACCACAGAGTTAAGATATCAGAAAAATATCAATCTGTAAACATGTTTTGTTTTAAATGAGAAAAATAAACATACGTTGTGGATGCGACCAAAAAAGTTAGCAAGTTTACAGTATACAACATACTTTGTAGAAAACCTGTAAATTAAACTGCACAACCCAAAAGAAACAATGCTAATCAAAAGGATAAGAGTTTGCTTTATATAGAACAAAATGATTGCTTTTATTTTATTTGACATTTTTGCATTTATAAGGGGAAGCTTCATTATGGATGTGACAGAAGTGAAATTGCAATTTTGTGACTTTGGTAAATCAAATATAATAGTTTGAAAACAATGACAGACATTTTTGAGTATTTTTAAGTAATGTAAAATGGTTGCACAAAAATGTAAAAACGGTTTCTGTATATTGGTGAAAAATTTTTTTCATGGTAAGATTGACATCAGTATGGAATTGCTCAGTTCATTTTCTAGATTTTGAACATCTCAAAACTGTTGCTGTCTATAGGGGAAAAGACAGCTCTAGGATTTCATCTAAAATATCCTAAATTGTGTTTAGAACATTAAATATTTTTCTCAGTCTATTGAAACATGTTGAGGGTGAAAAATTAATAACAGAATTTTCTAATTTTGGATAACTAAAAACTAAATATTTTTTTCTTGAAGAAAGTTAAAATTGATTCATTGTTGGACCACCTATCTTGATTTCCCCCCTCATATTTCTGTTCAAGACAAGCTATTATTAAAGATAATCCCAGAGGTTGTTTGAGTTTGCTAAGTGCCACTTAAATTCTGCATGAGAACGCAGAGCACTGTAACTGAATGCATCAAGGACTGCTGTAAAACTCCAGATGAGCCTTCTTGCATGTGTACATTTTTAACAAGTGTTGACAGTACTCCATAATGCCATTAATGAAAACTGAAACTGCTTAGCAAGACGAGAAGATATAGGATGAGCAACAATGTAAAAGCACTATTATAAATCATACAGTGTGCAACAAGCTTAAAGGCAGCACTGTCAGTACACTAAACTCTTAGCATGCATACATTATTAATCAAGAGCTGCTGTGGTATTTGATTACTAAAACATACAAAATTCACTACACCGTCTAAACACATATTTAAAAAAAGATGCCATGAACAAAAGTTTCTGCAGAAATTATTATTAGAAATTCAACATTTTATCAGTTATTGCATATTCAGCATTAAACTGATTAAAAGTAACGTTAGCAGTAAAACTAGGTACAACAGTTTTGGAAAAGCAGTCAAGATAAAATGTTTCTATAACAAATAAATAAATAACTGTTCTTCTGAACTTTCAAAACGAACAAATGCTGTTTTAAATGAAATTTGGAATGGCTGCAACATTCTATGAAGACCACAGATTTATTAACAAAAACGTGAACTTTACAACAACTGATGGCTAAAGAGCCATCTGCAAATATGTAGGAATGCCTAGCACTGAAAACTAACATTAAAGGGATAGTTCACCCCAAACTGAAAATTCTGTCATCAAGATATTTTGAAGTATGTTTTGTAAACCATTAACTTGAATCCATAGTATTTGTTTTTCCTACAATGGAAGTCAATGGTTACCAGCTTATAACATTCTTCAAAATATCTTCTTTTGTGTTCAACAGAAAAAAGAAACTCATACAAATTTGGAACCACTTGAGGGTGAGTGAATAGTGAGTAAATATCCATTTTAGGGTGAACTATCCCTTCAAGCCAAAAGGTTGTATAATCAATAGTTGGACTCAAATGTAAAGCACATAGCAAAGAGTTTAAAAACACACATATGTATATATCCATAAATACTCCAGCCATTCCATCCGGTTGACAATAATTGATAATCTCTCTCTCAACGTGTGAGGCGGCGTCCTATCAGGAGCAGTGCAGATAAAGTAACTGTCAACTGTCAGAAAGCTGTCAAGCACAAACTAAACCACCAGAAACATCATAAAAGCTGGGATCTTTAAACCGTAACATCAAACTGGTTAAAATGTACGTGGCACAACTGTGATGCAGCAGGTGACAGTCACACAAACCACAACCGCTTCGCTGCAGGTGAAGCCAGAGCTAACCAGCAAAACACGTTTATTACGCCATTTTCAAACCAATTTCGAAAGCCTAAACTGTCTACGACCCCTTCGTCTAACTACACGAGCGAAATGGACCTCAACTCACACAAAGCTGACTTGCCCACTCCATTTTTGTCCGATGAATGAACCTGCTCGCGGAGATGTAGATGCTCGACGGGTCTGCTAGCCGAATGCTAACGGCTCCAGAGCTAAAGCTTCATGACCTTCTTAATCAGGGCTTATGAGAGCGCACTGTTAAGCCTTTAATCTCGCGGACTGTATTGCTGTCCAAGCCCTCAACGCCAAAGCCACACATAAACGGAGACGAGTCACAGTACCTCAGTTAAACACAGAAACGCTGCTTACCGAAGTGAAGAGTGAGTGTGTACAAGTCGGCCTTCTTCCTTCCCTCCCACCTTACATGTTTTGTCATCATATGATTCACACTTCCGTCTTCCGTTTTCATTGAGGAGTTTTCAGCTCATATTACACACTCTGTTAAATGCACGACTATCTACAGGTATAAGATACTGCAAACTACCGATTGGTATGCCGTTAGCTTTGTTTTAATGTACGTATTAATCATTACAGAATGGCTGCAAATGTAAACCTGTTGTTTTTAATTCAGTTCAATTCAAAAGAGCTTCATTGGCATGACTTGTCAAGTATTGATAAAGCATTGCAGATTACATGAAGAATTAAAAAAATTGTAAAGTAATTATTTTAAATAAAGCATGCATATATATATATATATATATATATATATATATATATATATATATATATATATATATATATATATATATATATATATACAGGAGAATAATTTGATAAATACATAAAAAACACATAAAAATAATATTAGGATTAAAAAGATAATGAAAGAGGGAAAAACAGTATTACAATAAAACAAGATAAAATACAATAAACAACTGTAGCCCTACATTCATTTAATCATTCAATATTTTTAATTATATTTAGTATTATTTGCAAACTCTAAACAGCGAAATCAAATTAGCAGCCAATGACTATCAAAGTTCATCATTGTTCACAGTCAAATAAACAGTGTTAATGTTGTTTTCAAGTCATACTTGCATGCTAATTCCGATCGAATATTCAAAGTAACATGGTAAACAATATAGGGAGTTCTAAATAAACAAATGTGAATATAACACCAACTTTACCTCTGTCTTAGAACAGAACCCCAGGCTTCGCTCTCCCCAGACACTTCCTCCAGCTCCTCCTGGGGAATCCTGAGGCGTTCCTAGGCCAGCCGAGAGACATATTCCCTCAAGCATGTCCTGGGTCTTTCCCTGGGTCTCCTCCAGGTGGGACAAGCCTAGAACACCTCCCTATAGGTAGGCATTCAGTAGGCATCCGAAACAAATGCCCGAGCCCCCTCAGCTGTCCTCTCTCGATGTGGAGGAGCAGCGGCTCTACTCCGAGCTCCTCCCAAGTGTCAGAGCTACTCACCCTATCTATAAGGGTGCGCCCTGCCACCTTGCGAAGGAAACTCATTTCGGCCACTTGTATCTGAGATCTTGTCCTTTAGGTCATGACCCACAGCTCATAACCATATAGGTGAGAGTAGGAACGTAGATTGACTGGTAAATCAAGAGCTTTGCCTTTCGGCTCAGCTCCTTCTTTACCACATCAGACCGATACACTGACCGCATTACTGCTGCCGCTGCACCAATCCGCCTGTCAATCTCACGTTCCATCCTTCCCTCACCCTTGAACAAAACCCCAAGATGCTTGAACTCCTCCACCTGGGGTAAGGACTGTCCTCCAATCTGGAGATGGCAAACCACCTTTTTCCGGTGGAGCACCATGGCCTCAGACTTGGAGGTGCTGATTCTCATCCCAGCTGCGTCACACTCTGTAGCAATCCACCCCAGTGCATGCTGACATTCATTTAAATGATTCATAATCATTCTGACAAGTTTTGTCCACCAGCTGACTCTCTGCTGATGCTCTCTCTCTTCAGCTCAAATCTCTCTTTGTCAGCATTTGCTAATTGTAATAGGTTAAAGCCTTTATTTTGGTTCTTATGTAATATTTTCTTTTAAAATGTGGTGAAACGTTTTCCACAGTTTATTTGTTTATTCCTGGTTTGTTTATTCCTGGTTTAAAATATGTTAACAAGAGAAGATTACATTGGCAAATGTTTCATTTTGTAATAGGAAAGGCTAAACTCGGATAAAAATAATGAAAAGTTTTTAGGTAGGCTACAAGAAAGAATCTTGGTTGATTTAAATTATTATAAGTAGGCTGTATAGATGATCTTGACAGCTTATTTGGTATTTTGGTGTTTCAAATATTTGGTGTTTCAAAATAGTGCATTGTGCTGTATAACTGAAAACGAACGGTTTCTTCTTGTATTTTTATAATATTGTTCTTGGTAAATGGGTGACGCAGTGGCGCAGTAGGTAGTGCTGTCGCCTCAGCAAAAAGGTCGCTGGGTTGAGCCTCGGCTGATTCAGTTGGCATTTCTGTGTGGAGTTTGCATGTTCTCCCTGCATCAAAATGCTAAATTGTCTGTAGTGTATGAGTGTGAATGTGTGTGTGTAGATGTTTCCCAGAGATGGGTTGCAGGCGACTGGAAGGGCATTCAGTCGTTCATTTTCTTGTCGGCTTAGTCCCTTTATTAATCCAGGGTCGTCACAGCGGAATGAACCACCAACTAATCCAGCAAGTTTTTACGCAGTAGATTCCCCCTTCAGACGCAACCCATCTCTGGGGAACATCCACACACACACATTCACACACACTCTCATACACTACGGACAATTTAGCCTACTCAATTCACCTGTACCACCTGTCTTTGGACTGGGGAAACCGGAGCACCCGGAAGAAAACCCACGGGAAGGCAGGAAGAACATGCAAACACCACACAGAAACGCCAACTGAGCCGAGGTTCGAACCAGCGACCCAGCGACCTTCTTGCTGTGAGGCGACAGCACTACCTACTGCGCCCGGATTAATAAAGGGATAAAGCCGAAAAGAAAATGAATGAATGTTATTGGTAAATGTTTATATTTATATTATGATTCCTGTAAATTGTGATTTACCAATCACAATATTACTAACTTACACAAGTTATTTGTATTAGATTCTTTCAAAATGTATTTAGGCCTGGATGAAAGTTTAGTAAACGTCCCTCTCTCTTAATTCAATTCAAACTTGCTGTATTAGCATGACAAATGTTACATATGTATTGACAAAGCACTTGTGATGTTTACATTAAATATGAAAACAAATCACATAGTAGTAGTGATAAAAACAAAAAAAAATTCTCCGAAAAGAAAATAAATGACTGAATGATCAGAGTCATATGTTTTAGTGAATTCAAGGAGCCAAGATTAAAACATAATCAGAATTAAATGGATATACATTTTCAAATTCATATTTCAGTTTTGTTTCAACATGTTTTCTTCCAAGAGCGACATGGTGGCTCAGTGGTTAGCACTTTCGACTCACAGTAAGAAGGTCAGTTGACATTTCTGTGAGGAATTTGCATGTTCTCTCTGTGTTCGTGTGGGTTTGATCCAGGTGCTCCGGTTTGCCCACAAGTCTAAAGATGCAGTATAGGTGAATTGAATAAACTAAATTGGCTGTAGTGTGTGTGTGTGTGAGTGTGTGTGTATGTGTAAATGAGTGTGTATGGATGTTTTCCAGTACTGGGTACCAGCTGGAAGGGCATCTGTTTTGTAAAACAAGTGCTGGATAAGGCGGTTCAATCTACTGTGGCGACCTCTGATGAATAAAAGACAAAGCCGAAGGAAAATGAATGAATTAATGTTTTTTTCCAATTATAAAATGTTCTCTAAATGATCATGGTATTAGCATAATACAACCTATTTACAATAAATATTATTATAATAAATTATTACAGCCATCATATTTTCTTCCCCAATTCGACACACAAAAAATGAAGTCAAGCACAATACAAATGGTTTCATCCAAAACATTTTAATTACAAGAATTAAATTAACAGCAATTGGTTTTCAAAGAACAGTGGAATGTTGGTCTTGCAATATTGCTATTCAACACAGACAAATTCCACAATGTCAAGACCTTACATTTCATTGTCAACATTAAAAAAAAAAACAATCAGCCAAAAAAAATAAAAAAATAGACGTGAAAAGTAAAACCACCAACATTCAGATTTAAAACCATCCAACAACCTTTTCATGAAACCAGAGCATGACTATAGATTCAACATGCATTTTGTAGATCACATCTGAACATCATATTCTCCTAACGCAGATGGGTTTGCTCAAGTAAATAAAACGTGAATCTACACAATCCTGACACCAATAATGATAAAGAAACAGAGAACCCATCCATGCAATAAATTATTTAAACAGTCCAAATCATCTTTCAGTAATTGTTCATTGTCTTGTAAAAGCAAAGCAGAATGGTTACAAATGGATCTCAAAATGGGTTTACTGTACAAGTGTATGGCAGTTAAAGATTAAATAGTCTGTAGTGTTTATGTGTTCTAAAGTAAGATTTAGGCACAGCAGCTATCAATATAAGTTGGCAGAAAGCTCGACTGTCCTTATATATAATCCTCGGGATGAAATTTAACATCCTAAAGTGTCACATCAGATGTTTAAATGGCAACAAATGTAAAAACAATGTGTAGTGATGAATTCTATTGCGTTATTTCATACAGGAGGTGTTGTGGAATTTTGACAGCCATGCTAACAGTAATGATTGCAGTCAGTTAGGCGAAAAATAAAACAATAATAATAATAATACTGTAATGAATTCCCATTCACTATTCTGACCCCTTTTTGATTCAATGGAACAGCAAACATCAGAAAATCTTTCAAAACAACACTTGAGCTCATTAATACACGCCGATAGAAATCCTCCACAAGAAAACATACCAGAAGTAAACAGTTCATTCATTCATTCAGAAACATACGTCATCCCTTTATTAGAAAACAATTCAATCACCAAGGCCTAATAACTTACTTGATATAAATAAACAATCCACTGCCAAAGCACTGTGTGTGTAGTGTAATTTATAAAAGTAGTCGATGTTTTTCCCCTATAATATGCAATGCTCTGTCAGAACAAATGTGTTTGAAATAAACACACACACACACACAGATAATTTATGATAACTCACGTTCATACTGTCGATTCAGGTCAATCAAACTTTGCTAGTGACGATATTTTTGTCAAGCTGTTTAACCGCTCAACCACTTGGTGGCGACATAGACTTTAAAAGAAATTGGTCTGATACCACGACAACTACTTTATAAACAGCTTTGGATTCATTTGATTTCCTTAACAATTTCCATTTTCTATCCATAAGTTTTGATTTCCATTTTTGGAAAAACCTATTGATGGACAATATGGCACTATCTTTCGTTTAACATCCTTCATCATTTCTCACTTGTAGATAAATCAAGTAATATCTTCAAATTTAACCAGCTGCTGAAAAAAAACAACAAACAGGATCAGGTGTTACTCCTTTAAATCGCGATTGTCTCACAGTTTACAACGGGTCAAAACAGAAGATCCATTCAGTTGAACACATTCCCTCACACGCTAACAGATTTGACCATACTTTACACTTCTCATTCTTACTTTAAGGCAAGAAAATTTGTCAAGGCAACATTCAATAGCAACATTGCATAGCTAAGGCAGAATTACCATACTGAAATAAACAGCATACTTTTTTTTTTTTTTACATTAGTTCAATTAATTAAATTCCATTAATGAATTTAAATTTACTACCACACATTAAAGCAACTGAACATATATTACATATAATAAATGTACACATTAATCAATTATTTTGTACAGAACATGTTACACAAATACAATTTTTTCTTGTTTGCCGATGTTGAAGTTAAGCAGACAATGTATGAATTATAATATCTTGAGAATTGTAACAAGTTGATATGCAATCCTATTTAGCCTTGGCTAAAGATTTAGGTATTTTACAGTATTTCCAATACAGATTTCACATGGCTGAAATATCATTTAAGTGTTTTTTTACACCAAAATTATTCAGCCATGATTATTTTTTTGCCCTGTGGATTTTATAGCTCTTTCTTTTTACTATACACTCTCAGAAATAAAGGTACAGGAGCTGTCCTTGGAGCTGTACCTTTCAAGGGGTACAAATTTGTACCTGAAGAGTTCATATTGGTACCTCATAGGTACGTTTTATGTACACTTGGGTACTAATATGCCCCTTTGAGGTACCAATGTGGATTCTTTAGCTACAAATATCTATCTTTTGAAAAGGTACTGCCTCAGTGACAGCTCCTTTACCTTTATGTCTGACAGTATACAGTATATTCTGTATATTACAATTCCCTGATGGAAATACAATTTGTTACGATCCTAAATGGAAAAATAGCTAAAATTTGTTCTCATGGAACAGCTCATGAGAAAATCAAAATGAAGCATTAAACACATATATCCCTAAATGGGAATTGCAGTGATTTCCATTGTCAAACTAAAAACTCAAAGAAGGAACAATGACCCAATGAACAAATCTGAACATAGCAGATCATAGATCTCAAACACAATTCCTGGAGGGTCACAGCTCTACACAGTTTCAGTTCAACCCTATTTAAACACAGCTGATCCAAACAATCGAGTGTTTAAACGAGGCTTGAACACCTTGATCAGATGGATCAGCTGTGTTTGATTAGGGTTGGAGCAAAACTGAGCAGAGCTGTGGTTTGAGTTTATTATTATTATTATTTTTTTTGAGTTTGAGACCTATGGCTCAGATGGTGCATGGAGCATTTTGATTTACTTAAATACAGGCTATGTTGGTCCAAGATGTCAAAAATGGCATTGGTAATGTTCTTAGCCACTTCAGGGCAAATGTCTCCAGTGAAATGACAGTGATGGTTCCAGCATCCTGCTACATGTTTTACACAACAATCAGATGTGCATTCAAGTCTCCTAGTCTCACGAATGTGCTTTTTTGCCGCTCCTCTTTTTATTCTGACTGTAAATCAGCTGAGTGAGGGAACACAGAACGCTTCACGACATCCAGGCCTCATTATCCAGGCTGGACTCTGAAGAATAAGCACACTCCCTAGAACCCATAGCTGTAGACCGCTGTTGGGGTTGGATGAGGTCAGCGATAGCCTGATGCAGGGCTTTGTGTGAGGGTTGGTGATTGTTTATTCGTGGGGACTGTGGGGGCGTCTGGAGGGGAGACGAGTTGGCAGGAGACTGATGACAATGATTTGCATACCGTACAGGCGTAGGGATGCGTGATGGGCTGTTATCGGGTCTGTTGTCAGTGCGAGGTCGTATCCGTGGACGCAGCTTGAGCTTGTAGATGGACGGGACTCTCTCTGCCTTCTTTTGACTTTTCTTGGCACGGAGGACAACTGTGCCATCCGCATCCCCATTGGCCAGTGGCCGAGGAGGAGTGCAGGAGCCCTCAGATGGAGGCTCACTCAGACTTAAGCACATGGAGGAGCTTTCACTGGAAGAGTCCTGATAGGAACAGTCATCAACAGGGGGTGGAGGGGAGGGAAATGATTCAGGTAGAGGCTGGTCAGCATTGTCATATGGCAGGTCCGGGTGATGTTCACATTGTGGCACGTCTGCCTCCAACCCAGGCCATTCCACCAGTTCCTCTTGGCTCTCCATTGGTACCTCAGTCAAAGGAAGGCTGCCATTGATGTCTTTGGGGTGGCACACTGACCTTGATAAGCCTGGATTTGAGGTCTCCCCTTCCTCTATGGAGCTGGAGATGGCTGGGAGCTTACGGAGACCGCTTCTGCCACCCCATCGCTCTCCTTCCATCATCCCCCCGTTAGTGAGGCCTCCACGAATCTGGCTATGCAGAAGGGCAGGAGGGTCTTCGAGTGCACAGGTACGAGAATTAGTCCGTTTAGACTCTCGCAAATCAGGCAGGACTCCCACTTTACCTCCAACATTAAGAGAAGACGTTGAAGAGTTAGAAGAAGAGTAAGCAGAGTCTGTAACGTTAGTGTCACCAGAAGAGTTTGGGAGTACCCCTAAAGCTTGTTGAGAGCCAGGGAGCTGTAGTGACCTCATCTCCCTTCCAGCAGATGCTTTACCGTGCCCAGCCTTAGCTTGTTGCGTATTGGCAAGAAACTCTGCCTCAAAGCTGCGATACAGGTCTTGCTCCCTTTGAGGGTCAAGACTTGGCAACAGGTGTAAACTAAATATGCTGCTGTCCTCCTGGCTCTCCTGCTGTTGGTTGTGCGGATTTGCCCAAACTCTTTGGTCTCTTCCTATAGATCTTGAATTATGAGCAGATCGAGGGGAGCGTGGTGGATGATGACTTGAACGGGGAGAAGAATGTGGGGATCGCCGTCCTGGTTGTGTGACAGGGGGAAGTAACTTCCGGCTTCCAGAGGATGGTGACCGAGGAGCAGGAGGCCTTGGCATGACCATTCCTTTTTTCGCAGGACTTCCACTAGTGCAGCCCTTCGCAGGTGAGTTTGAGCCTGAGGAATTTGCTTGTCTTCTAGGCATACTTCCACTTAATTTTGGGGAAGCTGTCGGCACGTGCTTGGGTCTTAGTTCCTCTCTTCGATCTATGGAAAGAGGATGAGGGTCTTTGCGGCGGGGAGATGATCCAGGACTGACATCACCCAGTCTACCTCTAGGTGTCTTACCCTGGCTAAGGGAGCGTGGCGTCTGCAGTTTTCGTGGACCATCAGGCCCCAAAGATCTGCCTCTTTCTGTATGGGGTGTTCGATGTACCTCTGCTAGGCCCTGAGGTGGACTAGGTTTCAGGATTGTACTGGCCTGCTGTGCAGGGCGCTCTCTGGAAGCACTGCGTGCACGGGTCTGAGGGGTTCTCAGGGCTGGAATCTGTGCTGCCCCTCCAGGACGTTCAATAACATGTTTTCCCTCTTTTCGGTTCACCAGCAGAACCACCTCATCTGCATGTGCATGCCGTGTACCCAGAGAGAAGCGGCCTCCTCCTGTGCTTCCTCCTTTAGAAGAAGCAGTAGAAGAGTCACTGTCTCCTGAAAGCCTGCGGGCTGGAAGAAGAGATTCCTTATTTCTGTGTGAAAGAAAAGAGAACAACTTAGATATGGCCACATATGAAATTAAACATAATCAAGTTCAAACCATGCATCCACTGAATAATGTTATGCTTATCTTCTGTGCTTACGAAAGTTGCATTTTTTCCCAACAAAAATAAAGTGAATGTGATAAAAAAAGTGATAAAAAACTTGTCAATGTTGTCAAATATTAAAACCATTTAAATTAATTTAGATTTATTCTTCTGATTGAAATTCAGCTGTCATTACTCTAGTCTTCAGTGTCACATCAACTTTCAGAAATCTTGTATGAATAACATTCATGGTTTTCTGTAATACTTGTCATTCAACAGACCTGCTGAGAGCCACATGCAGGGCTGTATCCTTAGAAGCCATTTTCTTCAATATTAGAGAAACTACCATAGAGGTAGGGATTACTTGCCTCTGGCATTATCAAACATGTGCACACACCTTTTTCACATACGTGAAATACAAAAAAAATTAACTTTTAAAAATAAAAGTATCAATTGCTATGTTTTCATCCACCTATTTTTATGCACATTTTTGACATTCGCATAAAAAAAAACGGTTGTTGGAAATGCCAAGATGCACATAAATTTACAAAATGTGCATAAATAAATATGGGCATATGTTTGTGCTCTACGTCTCACCACACATTTATTGCATGTCAGCATCGTCTTCTGAGATGCAAGTCATTTATTATTTAAAGAGAAGATTCACACAAATTCTCCTACCGCAGCAAATTCTTTTTTTATTCTTGATATTTGGTGCCAGTTAATCAGAAAGTTAACTTTTTTTAATGATTTTGTTCTCTTTGACTCATTGGATGAAAATGCTTCTTTATTCGCATGTCTTTTTATTCGCATGATATTCCAGTTTTGTACATATATTTAATTCACATTTCTGGGTGGAAACATAGCTACTGTCATTCTTTTCTTTAATTTTAAAGACTAGTTTATGTACAATGAAACAATACACAGAGACTGCATAAGAATAAAACCTACTTCAAAATCAATCCTGAAACTTTAGCCGCTTTTCCACTATTGTGCTGAATCGTTCTTTATGCTGAACCGTTCCATTCCGTGCCAAACTGGGCCAGACAGCACGGATACGGTTTAATTTTCCACTGTCGTGCTGCGACAAAGCTCTTTGAAACATTACTAATTAAATTTAAATAATAGCTGAAACTAGTTTTTTCATGTTCATAAAAGCGAAAGCAACTTTGTGATCAACACTGTTTTGCCGCTCAATCAAATAGGGTTGCTAAATATAGGTAGGCTACATATGTCAGAAACCTTATTTATTTAGAGGTATGTTGTGCAGCTAAATTTTATTTAGAGGGAAAATGACCAAAATGTAATGTGATAATTGAAAATGATTGGAGGGGAAATAAATAATATATTAAAATCTCTGAACATAACAGAAAATTAAACAATGATAAGGCAACAATAATAGTGTATTTAAAGTGGCAGAAATATATTTTTGGACAGGCCTTGTCAAAAGTGAGAGGGCACTTTCTCTAATAAAGATATAGCTTATAAATTATTTCGGGCCGAGAACAGTTTGTAATCGTGCCGCGCCGTTCCAGGCTCAGTGGAGAAACAACCGTAACCGTACCGAAGTGTTCTTAGAAAGATTCGGCACAATAGTGGAAAAGCGGCTAGCTACAATAACATACGGATCCTAAGATCCTCTTTAGAAAAGTGGAATATTTTAGGATGTTTTATTTAATTTTATTCAAGTACACGTTCTTACTTAGCCAAGAAAGTGAGATACACATCACCTGGCATCCTTCTTCTGTAATGTAACCTCCATAAACCGTTTGCTGACCTGTTTCTGAAGTGACAGACCTGGGGCCTGAGATTATCCTAATCTGCAGTAATCCAACCTGTCTCACCTGCAGGTCTGGGAGTGCAAGTGTTAAAGTGTGCTGCTCTGACGCTTGGCCTGCTTCATTAGTCAGACTAAGGAAACCGAGGCACACGGCCAAGGTAAACCAGCAAGCTGTTCATGGTGCAGTTATACAATGCCCTTGCTGCACTTGGAAACACTGACGACAACAAGTATTTCCCGCTATCTGATGGAAATAATGAAGCACTTTTTGAAACTTCAGAATTTTAGGAAATGTCTGTTGTCATTTTAAGAGTTGTGTATATTATTGAACAACAAGGTGTTTCCAGTTATGGTTAAACGTTTTGTTTTTGAGCAATTGTAAAAAAAAGAAAAATGATACTTACATTATAACTTTCCCATTACCATTAAAATAATGACAAATAAGAACATTTACAGTCATGCGAGACCATGCTATCACTTGCATTATTAGGCAGGACGATCTCCCATTGTAAGGTTGTCATAATCGTTTTCTAACACAAGGTGGAGTCATTAACTGGACAACAAGGGGATGGATGACAGGACAATGTCACCTGGGATTTGCTCAAATCTCCTTGCAATAATCTGTATGTGTGTCACTGTGTGTGTTTATTTGTGTGCATGTGCACTGTTGCCTGAAGATGCAGATCACTTTTGAGGTACAGTGCATGAGCAGTGTTATTACTTGTGTTGAGTTAACTAGGTCAGTGTGAGCAAATGGCAGACACCCTGAGGGATCTCTTCAGACAAAACAACCGTACAAACATGCTATCATGCATGTGCTCCAGTCATAACGCTTCAAGCTTCAGTTCTTCCCTCACAGAGATGGCACACTTTCATATTCAAACATGCATGAAGTCATTCTATGAATTGGTTTTCTTTTGTTTTATTACAATTTTCTCTCTATGTCTATTTAGTTTAGCCATTTGGTCAGTATTGATATTTCTTTTTGTACAGAAAAAATATTAAAGTAATAAAAACCAAAGATCAATATTAATATTATTGATTAATTTTCCTTCGGCTTAGTCTCTATTTCAGAGGTCGCCACTGTGAAATGAACTACCAACTATTCCAGCATGCTTTACACAGCGGATGCCCTTCCAGCCACAACCCAGTACTAGGAAACGCATATTATCAATAAACAAATATTATAATATGAAGCAGTCTTCTTAAATGTGCATGTTCAAAATTGTTTTATTTATAATTTACAAGATGTGTCATGTTTACACTTCTATATTCAAAGAAGATTTTCTCAAGAAAATGTGAAGGCTTTTGTTTTTAAGTTGCCTTTGGCTCGGGTGTGTTTTTTAGGTACTTTTCTAATTAAGGTACTTTCCTAAGGGTTGTAAACATGCACATGCCACTTCTGATCCATTTATTGCATGCTAAATGAATGAAAGTATTCAACCTTTTAAATTGTGCTGTTTTTGCAATCAATTGTCAGTATGAATATTCTTCTTTTGAACGATAACATAGTTTCAACTTAATTTGTATCTCTGTGATTTTATATAACAGGCACATCAGAAAACAAGGGGAATCTGTACAAGACATGCTGTGCGCCATATGTACACAGTGGCTACTTTCTCTGTCAGCAATTTCCTTGCGATTTCAAAAATAGTAATTTACACATTTCTGACAATCAACAACTTATCTAAAATGAAAAAGCGGTGACTTTACAATTATTGTCTAGGTGCATTTTGATTCAACAGTGACTTTCAGTGGTGGAAGAAGAACTGAAAAATCATACTTGGGTAAAAATACCATTACTTGCCTAAAAATGTAGTGCAAGAAGAGTAAAAGCATCGGTTGTAAATAATACTCAAAGTAACCTATCAAAAGTACTTAATAGTAGTGAGTATTACACTGGAAAAGGCTGATGCATGTACATGCAATTTGTGGGTGTGTAAACGTAACATTCTGTAGTGCATTTAGTTTGCCCAGCAGGCACACAAATTCATAAGACAATAATATTAGGTTAGATTTAGGTCATGATGTCAGGTCACCAAACTTCAATGTCTAGCCAGTGTCCAAGGACAATGTTATTTTGATGTCAAAATAACAACATCAAATGACGTGGACATTTTGTTGATTCAGGTTGTGTTAGAAAGTGACCAAAATCCAATTTCAAGCCAACATCTTAAACCAACATCATATTGACGTAAAATACTGACATTTATTCGTCAGGTATGGCAACCAAAATCCAACATCAGATAAATGTCATAGTGGTAACGTCCACACAACGTCAAGCTGTAACATCATTAGACATTGATATATGGTTAATTTCAGGTTGGACGTTGGACACTGACAGCGGCTTGGCACTGAGTTCTGACGTCAACTGATTTTCATTTCCAAACAAAATGCAGCGCCCCCGCGACATTGGAGTACAAAATCAATCTGACAAGTGTTTAAGGCCATTTCGGTCTTCATACAGTAAGCATCTGTCATTTTTTCATCAGTGACATGCATCAAAACAGTCTCTGGGTCAATGCTTATGATTTTGAACATCTTCTTAGACACTCTGAATGTTTCCAAAAAGTAAATCGCCCATGTCTTGAGGTAGTTCATTATGATACGATTTAAATTCTATGTGCGAATTGATTGGACAGGAATCACAGGACTGATTTTTCTAATCCCCATAGACAAGAAAACATGAAGTAGTGACTGCAGATGGAAGGAAAGTACAGGAGTAAAAGCACCGATACAGCACTATAGATGTACTCAAGGGAAAGTTAAAGTACACTTTTTAAAAACTGCTTAGTAAATTACAATTTCTGAGCAATACTACTCACAGTAATTTGAGTATTTGCAATTTGTTACTTTACACCACTGGTGACATTTAGGTACTTTCCTATAAACTGTAAACACACACACATCTTTGTAAATCCACAGCTAAACACCCAAACACACCGCACTAACCTGAGCGGATTAAAGTGGCGTGGCTCTGATCTGTCTCGTGGTGGTCGAGGCAGCAGTGTTGTGGGCCGTCCTGTGTTTGTGTCCATCTCCACAGGCACGGCTGCATGGTGTGACCTGCCGGGTCTTGATGGAGAGGATTGCGCAGTGGTGCCCATTGCAGGGTCCAACGAGCGTCTGTCGGGCATTTTGTAGGGTGCGATGCCCTCATTACGCCAGTGAGGTCCTGGGCTTGTTGAGCGGGAAGAATGAGTGCTGGAGCTCTTACTGTGAGGAGCCTGGCCACTCGCTTTTGCCTGCTGATACCGGTGAGCTGTCAAAGATAGAAGTATGTCAGACAACCCTTTTAAAATTTATAAGAAAATAATAATTACCTCATAAGTGAATTGGAAATCAATACTGATATACAGTAAATGGTCATTTCGAAGTGGTTTGTCAAGTAATGACTTCCCAAAAAGGCTTTTTTTTTTTTTTTTAAGTTCCCAGGTTCTGCAGGTTACAATGTCCCGAATCTTGCTTGCCAATCTTAAGCCAATTGTAATGTATTGTTTGTATCAATTTGGAATTTTCCCAACCAGCGCAAAACAAGGGGACCATAGTGAGTGCTCCGACTTGGCCCCCCCTGGTCCACAAAAAGGCTTTTTTTGTGTCTTCTATACTACTTTATAAAAGGTTGAGTCATTTTTAAATGAACAAATACTTTTAATCAGCAAAAATAGAAAATCTGAGTATTTTTGCATACATTTAAGTATTATTTTTATGGTAATAAATAAGGAGGGCAGCTATTATCAATCTGTTCCAAACACATTCACAAATAGATTGAAATGCACTATAAGCTTTGATATTGGCCTTAAATGAGTGAACTGACTACTATTCACCACGAAACACGAGACAAAAAACTTGTAGAACTTGAATTTATGAAACTGAAAGAAAGTAAACAAGCAGACTTGAGAAACACATGTAGCTTTGTTTAAAAATTTCCAAGAAGTCTTAGAGACAGGAAATGACACGAGTGGTGAGCTCACCGTATGCAGCACAGCGACAGGGATCGTGTTTGTCGAGGTAATGCTCAAGTGTGTCCCAACCTCCACCCACGCGCACCATCACATGAGTCCGTAACACCTACACACAACATAATAACATAACATATTAATTACATTTGCCAATTATATAAAGTAATCAATCAATTGAAAGTATGGTCTTACTCTATTCTAGACATGGGCCGGTATAAAATTCTGACGGTATAATAACTATGGGTAAAAATATCACGGTTCCACGATATCATGATATTGTAATTACTGCTCTTTAATATATTCTTTTCAAATGTCTGGGTAAAAAACAACCTTTTCCCGATTAAACATGGTATTTATTTTTTAACATTTAAAATATTTTGAAACAATAAATGTCAGGCTAAATAATTTAAATAAATCATTGACTTTTGCTGTCTTAATTAGTTTCAAAAACACTGATTTATTTTCAACTTGAAAAGGCATCTTTGGAACTTACACATACCATAGAAACAGCATAACAGAAAGTTTTATTGACTTTTCAAAACATCTGTAAATTTTAAAACTGGTTATCATCCCATGCCGACTCTATTCATCTGGAATGTGTTGTCTTAAATAACAACAACAAAAAAGTAACAAAAAATAAATCAATGATTACTGAACTAGAAATGTTCACAGTTAGGTTAATGGCTCCAGATGAGAAGATCGATTGTTTAGTGGTAGATGACGTAAGTTTGCCAAATGGAAAAATACAAAACAAAGTACAGGGCATGAAAAGACTGCATCAGAATGTAGTAAGCCATATAAAAACATCAGAAACATGCCGTTTTAAAGGTATAATATGTCGTCATTCAGTGCAAAGAATGACTATGGAGCAGAGTTGGGTGCAACTGTATTCCCATTCAATTTTGAGGAAACGCAGCAATATAACAAGTTAACTTTTAAATTTGTGTGATTTGATTACAATTACTAAAGTCAATGTAATTGTTTTACTTACATTACAAATATAGCTTTTAGGAGACAACATTTGCTTCATTTAAATTATGCTTTCAGCTGCAAAGTCAGTTAATGAGCATGGGGTTTTAAATAGCTGGAGAACATGAGCTGGGGAGAGTAGTTGCTTCTTCAAGTGGAAATACAGACATTACTTTGATTACCCAAAAACACAGCAGCGCAAATAGGCTAATTTGGATTTTTATTCAGGATTGGGAGTGAATGTATCTTCTGAAAATGTGAAGAGAAGTATAGCTACTTATAGGGGCTGTTTACATGTTGCATCTTTTGCATCAATCCAGTTTATTATTTCCAATGGAGACGCATATTGTTAGCGAACGCACTTTCATATTCCTGGTTTCAATTCAACATTTCAGTATTTACATTTTTTCTCCACAAGCACAAACATAGCATGTGTTTTTCCTACTATGAATGCCAAGTATCCAGTTTTCTTCAAAATGTCTTCTTTTGCGTTCAAAAGAAAAATAAAAGACAAACAGCTTTAAAACAAGTGACAATCTCTTTAAATCTTTTGAATTTGTCAAGCTGCTGTGTTAAACGCATTGTAATGTTTTTCACTGAATGTTAAATTACTGAAAGCTGCAGTTTATTTTTTTTATTTTGTATTTTAGATATGTTATAAAAGTAACAAAGTAATTAGTAATCTGATTACTTTTTACATTAAGAAATTAGTAATGTGAGGAAGCATGGTGGCACAGTGGGTAGCACAATTGCCACACAGCAAGAAAGTCACTGGTTCAAGCGTCGGCTGAGTCAGTTGGCATTTCTGTGTGGAGTTTGCATGTTCCCCCTGTGTTTGCGTGGGTTTCTTCCGGGTGCTCTGGTTTCCCCCACAGTCCAAAGACATGCGGTATAGGTAAATGTTTGTGTTTGAATGAGTGTGTATGGTTGTTTTTCCTTGATGGGTTGCAACTGGAAGGGCATCCGCAGCGTAAAACATATGCTGGATAAGTTGGCAGTTCAATCTGCTGTGGCAACCCCAGATTAATAAAGGGACTGAGCCGAAAAGAAAATGAATGAATGATTAATTAGTAATGTAATCCAATTACAATTTTCCAGTAGTAATCAGCATTTTTGTAAACTGTTACTTTTTTAAAGTAATTTACCCAACACTGCTAAGCAGTAGGTCTCTTTGTAACATACAGAGCTTCAAAACAAGAATTAACATGTAAATTAGTTTTTTACATATTCTGAGAAAAAGAAAAAAACGCTGGTAGTGCTAGCCCATGCAAAATCTGCTTCGACAGAGAGATTGCTTAGTTGACATTAGCTTGTTGCTGGGGTATTCTGGGCGATTTCTCACTCAAAGGAAGCCCACCCCTAGTCTTTCTTCAAGCCCTTTAATGTGGCTAATTTTTTTGATATGTTTTATTTTCCCCAAGGCAAAAATCATAAGCCTGAACACATAAGAAAAGACATATCATATGTTTACATACTGCAAAATCTAACTTCTTCTGCAAAATCCATAGCACAAACAGTACTGCTAGTTATTTAAAGTAAAGTCAAGTCAAGTTGGCTTCATTGTCATTTCAACAATATACAGTGCAGTAGACAGTGAAACGAAATAATGTTCCTCCTGGACCAAGGTGCTACATCAAACAACATGAATTGACAACATCACAGAGGACTGTGCACTACTATAAAAATGATAAGAATTAAATAAAATAAGATAAACTAAAATAAAAAAATAAGTAAAATAAGAATAAAAGTGCAAAGTGCGGTTTGTGCAACATGTAGTGCAAATAAGATTGTTGACCAGTACATGATGGATGTTGTGCAATTATTGGATCAGATTTAAATACTGTACATGTAAACATTTGTCACTGAGGTAGAAATGTTGCACAGAGCAGTGTAAAAATAGCATTTGTGCAAATATTGCTGTCATTGTCCATTCATTTTGTGTATCAGTCCAGTTTCTTAATGTTTATTTTAAATTTTTTTAAATACTGTATATCTAGGCAGTAATAATAGCAACACATATCTTCAAACACCGCTAATAGCACAGGTGAAAGAGCATGCCAGTGAGTCAGTTGATTATTATAAGATCAGCCTCTTATGCCTTATAGCAATATATATACAGTTAAAGTCAGAACTATTAGCCCCCTTTTGTTTTTTTTTCTTTTTAAAATATTTTTCCCAGATTAAGTTTAACAGCGCAAGGAAATTTTTACAGTATCTCTGATAATATTTTTTTCTTCTGGAGAAAGTCTTATTTGTTTTATTTCAGCTAGAATAAAATGAGTTATTAATTTTTTAAACACCATTTTAAAGACAAAATTATTAGCCCCTTTAAGCTATTTTTTTTTTCCGATAGAGAACAAACCATTATTATACAATAACTTTCCTTATTACTCTAACCTGCCTAGTTAAAGTAATTAAGCTAGTTAATTATTATTTACTGTCATCATGGCAAAGATAAAAGAAGTCAGTTATTAGAAATGAGTTATTAAAACTATTATGTGTAGAAATGTGTTGAAAAACAAATCTTCTCTTCGTTAAACAGAAATTGGGGGGAAAAAATAAACAGGGGGGCTAATAATTCTGACTTCAACTGTATATAAAACCAACCAACACTCACTGCTGCCTCCATTGCCTTCATTAACATGACAACACACTATGACAGAGATGAAGAGAGAACAGAAAGACACCACACTCTCTCCCTCCCTCACTCAACCCCCACTTCCAATGGAGAAGATTTAGCACTGACACAGCCCTTCTATTTAGCTCTGAGCGTCGACAGGGAGAAATGTAAGATAAAAGAGTGCTATTGATTCTTTCATCAAAAAACAGCAAGTAAGGAAAACACACTCTTTTGCAGTTGTTGACTGTGTACTTCGAACCTGTTACAACAAGGCTCTTTACAGTTGTAGCATTGCTGAACTCCATCTGCTGAGCACATGGTAAGGAATCATCATGTGATGAGTGTCTGTGTGCCGTTGCTATGAAAAGAGAGCACATCTGCCGGCTGGCACAGTGCCCACCTGTGATAACTTACAAGAACTGGAGCACCCGAGAATTCAAGATAAACTTTATATGCAGAGTTGCACAAATTAATTAAAGAAAATATCTTTGTGAAGATTAATGTTTCAATCTTGATTTATTTATATGTAAATTCAAGCGATACAGTTCTCTACACAGAGTGGGGGGGTAGATACTGTAGGCAATATTTAATGGCTGTAGAAATTTTTGTGCCAATAGAGTCATGATGAAAAGAAGCTCTAAATAGACAAAAATAGTTAATAGGATTTTACATTTCCCAAGATGATAGCATCGGCCATGAAAGGCAGTTTTATAAATATGGATTTAAGACACATTTTAAAAGGGATAGTTCAACCAAAAATGTATATTTACTGTTCATTTACTTATTTGGAGATAGTATGTCATTTTTTTTCTTCAGAAGAACAGAAGATTTTTATTTTTAGTGGTCTTTTGTGATTTGTACAATGCGAGTCAATGGTTACCCGTTTTTTGGAAGCTTCAGCTTGTTGCCCAATCTGAGGATTAAAGCTAATATTTTATATAATGTTCAATTTCTTGCACAAACTGATTGCTTCTCTTCATAAAACCCTCAGTCTATAATCAGGAGCCACTGGGATTGATTTGGACAGATTGTATGTGTTTTTCTTTTCTCAAAAATGGATAACAAATGACCTGCATTATACAAAACACCACAGACCATAGATTCAACAAAAAATCTTCATTAAGGGTCTATTGAAGACAACAATCACCTCTATCTTTAGTGTTTTGAGGGTGAGGACATTAACTGCAAATGTAATTTTTTGGATATACTACCTCTAGTTAATTTTCACCAATCTTGTATACTTGTTTTGGATGCATTTCCGGCATAATGATAATTAAAATAAGTTCCATTAATCACAATTACAATATCCTAAGAAGTAATAAACATTTACAGTATTTCCCAGTGATGCCTTGCAGCTGGAGGGGCATACGCAGCGTCAAACGAGCTGGATAAGTTGGTGGTTCATTCTGTTTTGGCGAACCCTGATTAATAAAGGGACTAAGTTGAAAAGAAAATGAATGAATGAATGAAGAATAAACATTTACAACTTTTTCATATTAATGTAAATACTAGGCTGTCAGTTAAAGATATTATCTTAAAGCAATAAATCCCGACAACAGCAACATGATAAAAATTGAGTTCAGTTACACTCAATAATATAATAAAAATTCTATAAAAAGAAATCTGCCTATCATTGGTTATATTCATGCTTGATTCTTCATCTAAACATAACGTTTCGGAAGACGGCAGTCAGTCTACACCCAGCTGCTAATACAAAGCACCTTGCCAAACCACTCTTACCAAAAGAAGGCAGGACAAAATAAGCTGAGCTGTTCACAAAGCAGCTGTACAGGCTGAAACAGAATATAACAGAATGCAGGGGAAACAAGACACACATTCCTGCCTACACTCTCTACTGTCCTGTTTAACAAAGGTTAAAAAAAACCTCAAAATGTATAAAAATATGAAAAGTTTAAATGAAAACATTTATAAGTTAGCAAAAAATGCATATATATTTTAAATTAATTCTGTTCTTTTGAACTTTTTATTTATCAAACCATCAAATAACCCATCAAAAACATTAAGCAGTACGACTTTCGTCAACATAATATAATAATAAGAAATGTCTCTTGAGCATTAAATCTAAATATTGATTTCTAAATGACAGAGTCACACTGAGGCCTGGAGTTATTGAGTAAAAAACCTATTTTTACATATTAAATATAAAAATGCATAATGTCCCACAACACTGATCATTGCACTGAATTTTTGATCAAATATAGGCCTCTTTCACAGGTACAAACTTTTCCGGAAAACTACCAGCAATGTTCCAGAACAGGGATCATGTGTGAACAGGCCCTTTTAGAAAATACCGGTAGCTAAAATCGGTTCCACCAATTTTACAATTCACTGTAACAATTCCGGTAATTTGCCAGAAGGCTGCACTGCGTGAACGCAAAAAGAAAATTGCCAGGAAGAATGCATTCACGATTAGAATGTGCCAACACGAGACGTTTACTCCAGCCAATCAGAACATTCAGACGCATTCACATCCGCGCTGTTTATGATAATAAAAGTCCTTCTAAATCATCATAATTTGTAATGTTGTCAAATGTGTAAACAAAGCTTTTTTTAACTGCGGTTAGCGCCTTCAGATGGTAGCATTTTTTCCCCCATACCTATTTTGTCTGACTTGGACTTGACTTATGACTTATGTTACAAGCACAGCCGATTACAACTAACTTATCGTTAATGGAATCAGAATTTACCACTATCTTGAAATGGATATGTGAATGGTCTTTTCTGGAAAAATTCCGGGATGTCCATGTCTATGTGAACAGCATTTATTTTTATTTAACAGTAAAGTTGTTGCAGTAATTTACTGGATATTTGGTGGTATCACTGTGTGAAAGGGGCTATAGAAACTTTGGAGGGAAAAACATACATTTAAAAAATGCGCAGACCCCTAATTTTGAACTCCTACTTTAATTCCTTTAAATCATCATAATCAGTAAAGATGTAATTATCTTCAGTGTGTAATTGTCACCCCTTTGCATTTAGGTAAATGTAGCTGCAGGCAGGTTTGCTTTTACAGTAAGTCCTAATGTAACAATTGAATTGTAGCCAATATGAGCATTGCACTTTTACAGCTTCACTGCTCTGGCCTTTAAAAACCCCTTGGGATTCAACCCCTGAGTCACCATGGCAACAGGCGGAAACATGCTGAAACCATAATTATGATAAACAATAAACAAAGCTAATGCTCTCTTGTGCCAAGGCCTCTGTCTTCAGGGCTTTCAGCAATTCAGTGAGTTTAATTTTCTTTTAACTGACACAGATTAAACCGTGCGACTGAATAATGTGAGTGTCCAAATGATGATAGTCTCAATCTTATTGCCCTTCACCTTCCATCTTTTCTTACTGATGTCATCACTCTGCCTCTGCTAGTGGAGGATGATGTGTACATGTATAATTATAGGCTCAGCAAATAAAAGGCTTCTAGCAGCACCAGCTAAGTTGCAAACACAAACACAAACACACACACAAACATAATGAGGAAAAACATTAAAAACAGGAAAAACCAAGACTGATGACGACTGAGAGAAATAGAGGGATATAGAGTTTCGATCACACCCTCCATGCGGAGGTGAATGAGACTAAATGGAGTTTGATTGATTCAGCCCTGCTGCCCTAGAGGAGGATAAAATTCCATCCAGAGTTTCAGCGAGTAACAATCTGTACGACAAGTAAGATGCATAAAGTGCAAATAAATACCCATAGGCACCCACGCATCAATCCAGAGAGTTGTGTACAGAGCACAGGAAATGACATAGGTCTCTATTTCTGTCCGCATTATGAATGGGTGTGGGTTCTTTTTAGATGAAGCTGGATAACAGACTTCAAGTCTTGAATAGGTCAGCCTGGCAACTGTGTAAACACCATTCAAACCTCGGGATGACTTATTATGGACCTATAATTATTATAGTCTGGCCTCCATTCTGGGAATGCTAAAGGTCCCAATGATACAGTAGCACAGATTCAGGAAGTAAATAACAGAATCGATGGCTTGATATGTGAACTCAGAGTGTGGCATTAAATGAATATGGCCAAATGAATCAGCAAAAATATCTATTTTATTAGGCTATGCATGATGTACCTCTCTGATTTATAATTGCTGACGATGTCTGTGGGTGTCACCATTCAAAATGAAAGTGCCCCTTTTTGCTTATAATGTCTCATTTCTAATCATCATAAATTAAAATAAAAACATATGACAGCTGTGGGAGTCCGAAAAAAATACAACTCTGACCAATGTAAGGAAAGTTTACTGGCACGTGACTTGTTTTAACTGTAGTGGTCCGTTTAGAAACTTTGCCATGTGAAAGCGAACCGCACCAAGAACAAAAATAAAAATTGTAACAATTTTAATCACTGTTTCAAAGCAAAACAATCAATCTACAATTGTGAAAGCACCCTTAGAGTTGTACATACCCTGATGAAGATGAGAGCGCTGGAGTCGCCCACTTTATACTTTCCTTCTGAGACTTTGGTCATGGGGAACTGTGACGGACAGGAGCACTGGCCCAGAATCTCCCGAACCTACAAACCATAAAAAAACACTCTTAAAATACATAACACACAATATGTTGATAATCATGGTAGTTCAAAAAAACATATTAATTGAAAAGATTGTCTTCAGTAGCACACATATGTGCATATGCTGCTCTATACATTAGTCCATAGTATGAAGCTTTCAAAAAAAAAAAAAAAACAGTATGAATTATAACTTTAATCAATGTGAATTATATATACATTACTGTGCAAAAGTCCCAAGCACTATACATGCTTTTTTGGCGTAAGACTTTGGCACAATATATAGTCACTCAGTCTCTTTATTAAAAAAAAACAGAAAATATATAAAATATGTACAAAAAACAACAGCATAACATTTCCTGAAATGTTCTGAAATAATGTGCTGTGTAATATCAGACTTCTTTTAGCTCTTTTTACTTAGCTTTACTTTTTACTTAGGTTTAAAGTATATATAGTCATATAGTTCTTTTGGCCAGGTGATCTCATACAGGCTTTATAATATTCAGGTCTGGACCCTTTGGAGGCCCTTTCATTTTAGTCTGTGTTTCATCAGCTATTCTTTTTCTCTAAATAGACTTTCACTGCAATTAGCAGATCCTTATCATGCTAAGAATGAAAACTGTTACTTCTAAAGTACTTTTAGTAACAAATGGAAAAATCTGTACTTTTCAACATTCACAATTCCATCAATTCAGAAATGCAGCTCAACCAAGGACAAACAGCATTTTCTAAACATTGTCTTTTACATGTCTTAAACAATTAAACCAAAAAAGTTTAAACTCTAACCTAACCTAACTCCAATCCTAACAAACCATACATCATCTGAAAGATAATTTCTTCACCCTGCATGAATCTCAATTTTTAAAAAAGACAAACAATTTTACACTTTTGGCTGGTTTTCTGGTAAAGGGTCACATAAATCCATTATACCATTAGTAAAACAACAAATGTAATGTTGACCTAAAACTTTTGCACAGTACTAACTGTATATATTTATTAGGAATGTTCAGATCTGATCTTGTGATTGGAAATTGGGTCCAACCATCCCCATCTCATTATTTTTTTAACACATCTATATTTATGCGGGGCACAGCGTTAGACCTCTTTCTTGACTTCATACAGAAACAGCAACGTATGCGGCATGTTGCATAAATGCTATTGGTTAAATGCTGGCAAAGTAGAACATGGAAGGAAGGTCTGGGGGTATAGTTATTAAATTGATGAGACTTTTTAGTGCTGTAGCAAATGTCCTTGAGGTAGAGATGTTAGAGGTAGAGATGTTAGTTTTCATGAAGAAAAACATACATTTCCTTCTGTGAACGTTACTACTGTGATGACAGTAAGAGTTAGGGGTGCAGTTCCTAAAAGCACAAGACTGGCTTTGCAAACATTGTGGCACTTTTATTTGTATTTTTTTTGTTTACATGCTTGCCGGGTATTTTAAGTTATTTATCTGTTATTTATTACTTGACTGTTCAAGCTACCTCACAGAAGTGCTCTGTTTGTTAACAGATATGCTGAATGTTAAAATAAGGTAAATTAAATAAAAAATCCTGGATCTGTTTCTTCGCTCTTTGTTTATTCTTTTTTTAAGGTATTATAGAAGTATCTTATGGGGTTTCGTATCGGTAGATGCTCAAAATCAATTGACGGGCTTGAGGGCAAAAAACCTGATCGGGACATCCCTAATTTATTATTTAGGAAAACAAGTCAATCAATCAATTAATCAATCAATATGTTATCACTGTTTGATTACACAACCCAAAAGGACTTAAAAGTGCATTGCCAAATAATTCAGTCAAACACACAATCACACGCATACTTGTAATATCTAAAAATCAACACATCTACATGCAAAATGCAAACAATTCAAAATAATGTGTATTTTTTCTTAATTTCAATAGTCTCAGGATAGCTGAAATACACAATTGATCTCCAAATGTGGAGTAATTTTATAGCCTTTAGTTGTTTACTAGCTCAATGTAGACTATAAAAGGCATTTAGTCACACTCATTCCACTGGATGCTCAGCAGCACCTGAACAGAAGCAGTTTCCTCTGAGTCACATCCCTCACCTCACTTCAACTCTGTACCAGAGAGTGCAGGATGCTGGGAGCATGTATAAGCGTGTGAATGTAACTTATATATGATGCATCATAGGTCGATCTGTTATTGACTCTTCTGCTGAGTTCCTGAGGTGATTGACTCATCGTAAAGAGCCCGACCTTTCCAATTCCTGTCACACCTAAACCAAATCCCTCCATGGGGAAAATAAACAGTCTCTCTCTCTTTCTTTATGCATCTCTCGCTCTCTCCAAAGCACAGAGAAACAAAGAGCCTCAAGTTGCGTCATATCCTGATCAGAATCTGGGACTTGCCCAATGATTAACTCAAAGCCACGTATGGGTAAAACGTAATTCTGGATGTGAAAGAGAGGGACGTAATATTGTGTATTGTGATTTAAAACGGTCAGGTTGGTTGAAAGCGCTGCGCTGGGTGGAGTGTTTGTGAATTTGCACAGACTTCTCTCTATTCTCTCTAGCTCACTCTGATGTTGTTTGTTGTCTTTGAAAAGACTGGCGTAAATGAATGTGGCACCAGGACAACAAACACGGCAAAAGTCCAGGAGATCAATCAAGATCCGACAAGGGAGAAGCAACGCGAGGACAGGGTTGAAACTCAGCAAGACAAAAATCTGACTCACACACACACACACACACCTTTGTCATTTAAAAACGGATGAAGACACAGACACTTAGTCAGCAAATAAGGAGCAATTATCACTAATTAAATGTCAATGTCTGCATATGGGTGTATCTTATAAAGATTGATGTCAGTGTTTTATTGCAATCCAAAATAAAAAGATGGTTTCATATAAACACTCGAATTACTGAGGCAGCCATTTTAAATTTGACAATTTTGTTCAAATAACACACATATATACTATTCTTGATTATTCATGGGATGTAAACAAAAACAATGATCCCAAAGTATTTCCTGTTTTACATTTTTGATTTCTATAGCTTCAGAGAATCTAAAAAGAGCCACATATTGATAAATAATATTATGATAGCTGTTTTAACACTAAATTATGATTGAATAGCCTTTTGTTACAGTTATAAAATAGTTTGATAACAAGCAGGAAATGTTCATGGGCCAATGACATGACCACATTGAAATGGTCTATATGAACTACAATGGCCTGACTTTTCCTTTGTGTATGTAAATTTCTTTTTTCTTTTTTAAATTACAAAACACAAAAGAGTTCTGTGTATATCCAAAGAGCTTAAAATGACCAAGAGGCGACACTCTGGTGTAATTTGGGAAACAGCCACTAGAGGGCGCGGCGGCCATTTTGGAATGAAAACTCCAATAGAACAACATGCATATTATAAGTCTGTAAAATAAACTATTAAAAGTGCTGATGTTCGTGATAATATGTGTTGTATTGTCGTCTTTCAGGTTGTATCTCAACTTTAATGCGCTTTTTGAATAAATAAATAAAAAACAAAGCAGGTGCTTGCCATCGCGACAGTAATGAGATCCAATGGACGGCCAATCACTTTCACTCCAAAATAAGACCTCACTTTATAATAATACTTTAAGACCTCATCACCATGTCAAGTTCTAGTCAGTATCAAACCTTTAACTTAATAACATTCATTCATTTTCTTTTTTGGTTAGTCCCTTTATTAATCTGGGGTCACCACAGCCGAATGAACCACCAACTTATCCAGCATATGTTTTACCCAGCGGATACCCTTCCAGCTGCAACCCATCACTGGGAAAACTTAATAAACAGTTGTTAATAATCGTTTGTAGTTGAGTAAATCAATGTAACACAACCGTGCAACAAAACTCAGATAAGCTCGGAGAAAAAAAAACAAAGCTTGAAAGAATAAATGACGTGGTTGTTTTCGGTGACAAGCATAGTTAAGCCACTGCTTAAACTCGTCTTTCTCCAACCAGGATTAGGCAAACTCACATTTTCCCATTTTGCCGTCTGTTTCGCTGTATAGTTTCGCTACATGTAAAGAGTGTCACGTCATCTTTTTGCGTTTGTTGCAAATTACGTGACATCACCTGGACGGAGGAGCTTGGCTGGACACATCCCGGCCTGAACCAATCAGGTAGATCTAGCACGCCATTGTTAATATTAGAAGAAAAAAATATATATTTATGATTTTTTTGTAGTCAAACACTTTGGACAACAGTTGAATAAAATTGAAGATCTCGTAAAAACGCTTTTAATTTTTTTTTACTTTAAAAGGGCTACATTTTCTCATAATTGATTTAGCAACACTTAATACTTTTTAAGACCCTGCAGACACCCTGTTTTCTCATAGCAAAAATAACTTTGTTCCAGAAAAGACTTTTCAAAACATAATTAAAAATAAAATTAAAAAACTGCTCATGAGCTATATTACCAAAAGATTGTATCTTTAGGGAAATGGCTTCATAAAATATGACAACAGACATTCAAGGCTTAATTCTAAAATCTCAATTGAAGTTTTGAATGTAAATATACTGTAACAAAAATGTAATTCTGTACAGTTTTATTTGAACAGTCAGAATGATGGCTATAACCATCCTAGTAGCTGAACAATTCTGTTAGTTTTAATTTAAAAATAAAATCCTAAAAAGTTAACAGCAGCTAGCTCTCTGCAACTCTCACATGGTCGCCCACTGAAGCTAAGCAGGATTGCGCCTAGTCAGTACCTGGATGAGAGACCACATGGAAGAGCTAGGTTAGTGAGACCAGCAGGGGGTGCTCAACCTGTGGTCTGTGTGGGTCTTTACGCCCCATTATATATATGGGGACTCTATACTGCTCTATGAGTGCCGTCTTTCAGATGAGATGCTAAATGAGGTCCTGACTCTGTAGTCATGCTAAAAAGAGTAGGAGTTTAACCAACCCAGGGTCATTCTGAAAATGTACCTCTATATACATTTCTGGAGAGAGCAAAAAACGTCACAGGAGGTCCGTTTTTTTGCAGTTTTTATTTT